TTGTGCTCTGTTGATGATGTTCTCGAGTTGCTGATACGAATCAACTCTCTTAATCAAAGTGAACTTGATTTCGAGAGCAAGGAACGGAGTGTTCCCTTATTACCAGACGAACTATTCGTAAGCAAAAAAATTACAAATAAATTACAACAGCAAATTCAGGACCCACTTGTTCTTTCATGCAACGCATTGCCTAATTGGTGTGAGAATTTGAATCAATCTTGCCCATTCTTGTTTCCATTTGAAACAAGACAGTTGTATTTAAACTGCACTTCGTTCGGAGCATCTCGAAGTATCGTATGTCTGCAATCTCAACGAGATCTCACCGCAGAAAGGCAAAGGATACCGATAATGAGTCCACGTCGAGATGATCACGAGTTTCGCATTGGTCGTCTCAAACATGAACGTGTTAAAGTACCACGTAACGAAAATTTGCTGAAATGGGCTATGCAAGTTATGAAAACGCACTGCAATCGAAAGTCTGTATTAGAGGTGGAATTTTTGGATGAAGAGGGAACTGGCTTAGGACCAACACTGGAGTTTTATGCCTTAGTGGCAGCAGAAATTCAACGATCCGACTTATGTATGTGGCTATGTGACGATGAATTAGGAGAGGAAAACACCCAGGATATATCCGAAATTCTTGAAGGCAATTCTAAACCAATTGGATATTACGTAAATCGAAGGGAACACGGATTATTTCCAGCTCCCCTCCCACAGAATTCTGAAAAATGTGAAAGTGTTTTAAAATATTTTTGGTTTTTCGGAGTTTTTATTGCAAAAGTTTTGCAGGATATGCGTCTAGTAGATATACCTTTGTCGACATCTTTTCTGCAATTGCTTTGTCATAAAAAAATGTCTTTACGCAGCTTACAAAAAATAATATCTGAGAGAAGACCTGGAGAAATATCTTTGATATCTGGAGATCTATTAGAAACGTGTACTGACTTGTTACGTACTGACTATAATAAATCTAATTTATTTGGTGGAATACTACATTTGGAAAATTTAAAAGAAGTAGATCCAACACGATATCAATTTCTACTCGAACTGCAAGACTTGTTGTTGCGCAAGCAATCAATTGATTTTGACTGCAGTATAAGCTTGGAAAGAAAACAAGAACTAATAAATGACCTTAAGCTATGCACCAAAAATGGATTAGAAGTCTCTCTGGAAGACCTAGCACTTACATTCACGTATTTACCAAGTTCTTCAATATATGGATATACACAAGCCGAGCTGTTACCAAATGGATCATCAATAAATGTCACCATTAACAATCTGGAGGCATATTGCGAACTGCTTCTTAACTTTATTTTACAGGATGGAATTGCTAAGCAGATGAAAGCTTTCAGTGATGGATTTAATGAAGTTTTTCCCCTAAAAAAACTGACCGCGTTCTCCGCGGCTGAGGCTCGTTTAATGATTTGTGGTGAACAATATCCACATTGGAATCGAGAAGATATTATTTCATATACTGAACCAAAACTTGGCTACTCCAAAGATAGGTAAAGCAAAAAAATATTGTTAATCAAATACGGAATAGTAATCTCTTTTTTTTTAGCCCTGGGTTCCTTCGTTTTGTAAACGTTCTATTAGGCATGTCAGGAAATGAACGGAAAGCTTTTCTACAGTTCACAACTGGTTGCAGTAGTTTACCCCCAGGAGGACTTTCAAATCTACATCCTCGACTTACAGTTGTTCGAAAAGTGGATGCAGGTGTTGGAAGCTATCCCTCTGTAAATACTTGTGTTCATTATTTAAAGCTTCCAGACTACCCAACCGAAAAAATAATGAAGGAGCGGCTGTTAACAGCAACAAAAGAAAAGGGGTTTCATTTAAACTAAACATTAAAGCTTTCTATATGCAAACAGTGTAATCCATAGTGTAATGCTATAATTTTGCATACTCTATAAAAATGTATTTTAAATTAATTATGAATAATTTAATTAAATCAAATTTAATACAGTTAGAGCTCATTATTAAATCATTATTAAATACTGCGATGTCCTTCAGCCCCTATGTTGGTGAACCAACAAACGCCCAACACTGTCCGTAATGGATTTATTTATAGTATTTATTTTTCTAAAGGTTCTGGATTTCATGAGTTAAAATTACCACAAGGGTCTCGCAGAGGTGTGATGTGTCTAGTTCCTCTTTTCTTGTTACTTTTATCAACTGGTTGACAGTCGTGGTGCATTATTTTGTCTCGGGCATTTCTCCGAGTCTGAGTTCTTGAATTTTTTGGTGTCTGTCTCTTGTTGGAATCTGTCGCTTATGGCGTAGGTCATCAAACTCCGGTGTATCTGCGAGAACTTTCAAAGCTGACCCATTAAATTTTAAACCCTGGCTTGCCTATGGTGAACTCCTAATGCCGCACTCATAGTCAGCAGTTTCTTGTGTGTGTATGTGTGTACTTTTGTCATCGCTATCGTCTACTGGTCGTATTTTGTCCGTTTAGTGGACGTAAAAGGTCTCGTTCCAAGTTACTGTCCGTTCGGCGATAATAAGAATGTAAGCCGAATGTGAGTAGTCTATCAATTTCAAAGCATTCAGAATTACCCATGGTAAAATCATGAGGAATCATCATTGAGGGATCTAATATACATGAAAACTAAAAGATCGTTCCTCTTTGTGACCCAATAGACTATTGTTAAATTCTATAAAAGCTTGAAAGATAAGGTCGACCGTGTTATCGATTATCTTTTGTAGACATCTGGCCTTTCTACCATTAATTCCTTTTAATTCCTTGTGAAAGTGCATTATCTGCAGGATTATATCGGTTGTACCACTAACCATACAGTATATAGATGTGCCAGTTCATACAACGAAAGTGTCACACACCGGCCTGCGCTATCCGTACCCCAGAGTGACGTCATCATGAGAGAGAGAGCGCAGAGAGAACATCTTTGCATGTGTTAGTACACACGCAATATGTTTCGACAAAAATATGTGATTGTATGTTTTTTCAGATTTTTTGAACTCTCTCAGGTCTGATCTGTTTTGCCACCAGCATGTTTTAGTGTATGGGTGCACATGCATTCTCACGTACTTTGCGTTTGTGTGTTTACTATTGCTGGCCGCTAGAACTGAAATTTGAGTTTGGTTCTTGTTTCGGGTCTTTTGATGGACTGACCTACCGCCACAAAATAAATGAAGAATGGGCAGGGGGTGGGGGTATGGTACACTAGGGCGCGGGAAACAAAATAAAAGCTGTTATTTGTTTGATTTATACCACAAAATATAAAATATTACAATAATATAATTACACATTTATTTCCTTATTTTAAACAGGTTAAATTATACAAATTATGCAAACGCCGTCGGTTCTCGACGTTTTGTTTATATTTATATTATATTATATTTATATTTTTGTTTATTATAACTAAAACAATGATGTACATATCTAAATATACAATATAAGAAAAAATATATATACATATACTTAAATAACTATGCATAAATATAAATGGAATTGGTTTTACATATATGTATATATGTATATGTAAAACCAATTCCATTTATATTTATGCATATTTATTTAAGTATACATATGTATATATATTTTTTCTTATATTGTATATTTAGATATGTACATCATTGTTTTAGTTATAATAAACAAAAATATAAATATAATATAATATAAATATAAACAAAACGTCGAGAACCGACGGCGTTTGCATAATTTGTATAATTTAACCTGTTTAAAATAAGGAAATAAATGTGTAATTATATTATTGTAATATTTTATATTTTGTGGTATAAATCAAACAAATAACAGCTTTTATTTTGTTTCCCGCGCCCTAGTGTACCATACCCCCACCCCCTGCCCATTCTTCATTTATTTTGTGGCGGTAGGTCAGTCCATCAAAAGACCCGAAACAAGAACCAAACTCAAATTTCAGTTCTAGCGGCCAGCAATAGTAAACACACAAACGCAAAGTACGTGAGAATGCATGTGCACCCATACACTAAAACATGCTGGTGGCAAAACAGATCAGACCTGAGAGAGTTCAAAAAATCTGAAAAAACATACAATCACATATTTTTGTCGAAACATATTGCGTGTGTACTAACACATGCAAAGATGTTCTCTCTGCGCTCTCTCTCTCATGATGACGTCACTCTGGGGTACGGATAGCGCAGGCCGGTGTGTGACACTTTCGTTGTATGAACTGGCACATCTATATACTGTATGGTTAGTGGTTGTACTAAATCAAAAGTTGAGAACTTATCGACAGCTGTTAATAATTATTTCCCAAACGTCAAGCAAATATCTGTGTGCACCATTTCCCCTACACGTGATCGGGATCGTGGCGGGATCGGCATGATCCCTAATGCTTGTTTACTGTGAGGCCTTGCATACTTAGACTTTGCACATATAAGTCAATATGTATTGGTACACCCATTGATCAGTAATTTTTAAAAATTGATAATTTTTCATATATATTTTCTGCCTACAGTTGTAAAATGTGGTTTTCTCCTAGTAGGAATTTATAATTGGCATTATTTGGCAATTTATTTAAGTTTTCCGTAAACAAGTTAATTTAATTAAATGAAAGTTTAACACAGTGTGACACGGAAGATCACCTGTATGCTATATTATTATATTCAGGCAGGCGCCGACTATCACTTTTTTTTCGTTTTCAGCCAAAACGTTCCGCTTCAATTTTTAGGCGCTCTCGTTTTCATAAAATTTAGTCATCGATATATTTAGTTTTATATTCGTTTCTGGCCAGCAAAAGCATCTGATTTGCATTTATCATAAATATACTGCGTGATAAAATATAATTTTAATATTTTAAATTTCATTTAAGCAAAACTACGTCAGTAAGTATGCGATATAAGAAAATCAAGACATCTTAGATGGAACACCTGCTATTCAATTTATACGGGAATACCCAAAATATATATATCGATACTATTTAAATATACCCTCTTTGGTCACACTGGGCCAGTTCATTCTTACATGATTGAAAATTGTTCACACATTTAATACCAAAAACGAGAAAAATCGGGCGTGTTTTCGCTATGGCGGTGTTTTATAGGATCGCTATTCAATCTTCCATCTATGGGTAAAGTGTTCCCATTCACCTTATATGTTGCAATCTATAAACAGAAATTTTATTTATTTTAGTTGTCGCTCGATGTCTATGTTTCCCAAACATTTCGGTGACCCTCTTAAAAAAAAAGATATGGAAGATTTGAATAAGAGTGAACTCACTAAGTTTTACCATATACCGATAAAAGCAGCTCTAAACAATCATTCTGATACTGTCTTTAGCGACGAAATCAAACTAAAAATGATGAATTATATAACAAAAAATGGAAATAAAGCCTTGGCCCGAGGTCTTTTGTCAAGAACATTCGAAATAATCAAACGTGCACAAACTGAGCGTTTGCACTTGAGCCCAACAGATAAACAAAATGTTAACACTAATGCTGAAAAGCTACTAATAGAGGCAGTTGAAAATAGTAGACCATTGCTTCAGTTGACATCTATAAAACGTGGTGGTGTGAACTATCAAGTCCCGGTGCCTATAACGAAAAAAAGATCTTATTTTCTGGCTATGAAATGGCTTTTAGATGCAGCTTTTGAAAAAGATAAGAAAGTATGTCTTCCAGAGAGATTAGCTTGGGAAATTCTGGACGCTGCCCATGGCCAAGGTAGAGTTATTAAAAAAAAAGATGATGTGCATAAACAGTGTGAAAGTAATCGCGCATATGCACATTATCGGTGGAGCTAGTTTAATTATTTAAATTCTTTATAATATACAAATTAAAATAAATTTTGGTAAATTGTAGCATTAAAGTGTTATATATGGGGTGACACCGAGTATTCTTCCAACCGAGTTCCAAATATGGGTGGCGCGAATACAAAACTTATGTTTTCGCATTATTTTTCTCAGAACCATAACTTTTAAAACTTCAGAAAAGATGAAATATTTTTGAATGCTTTTGTTATAGATGCTATTCGTATAGGCATGTTAGTGAGCGTTGTTCAAGGTATATATACATATTTAACAATCTTTGTATCAACGACAATTATATCACAACCGGAAAAATAGAAATTTAAATATTTGAAAAGTTTGAACTTAGCCTATTCTTACAGGTGGGCATCAACCATCCGTTTCTGGAATGGCTCGTAACGTTTTATCTTTTCGAAAATTTCTGTTATTCCACAATCCAGTTGGAATTTCCTTAATAAGCTTTGTACATTAAGCACATCCCGGAGGAATGGTGAGATTTTTTGACAGATGTGACAGATTTTTTGATTTGGGGACCAACGCAAATCCGCATTATTATCATGCCAAATGTTTAAACCGAGATTTTCCATCTATGCAGTTTATTTCGATATGCGTGTAGCGTCTCTATTTTATTTATCTTCTTTTTATTTTCAACGATTTGAAATTCTAATTACGATTTGAAATATGTTTAGGCGCGAACAATTTTTTATTGCCATTGTTTTTAAGGGCTGCATTTAAAAACTATCGAAAAAGTACCGCATAGAAACGAGCGGTTTAGGAACATCCCATATTGTTGAATAACGGAAATTATCAAAGAGGAAAAACCTTACGGACCCCGAGATGGATTCGTCAGTGTGAATAGCCCCGAGGACCTAACCAGTAGATGCATATTCTTACAGGAACTAGTTGATAACCAACTTTGGACGCATGGACCTGCTTGTTTGGAAAAGCGCCGCGACTAAGTGCATGGGGCAGGGTCGCAGTTTCTAAATTTCTAAAGTATGTCGAACGTCGTCCAGTTATTCTTCCGCAAATTTGTCGGCTGTCTCGCCTTCACACACCGGAAAACTCTACATGCGCCTTATTCGATCCAAGTATGGGATTACAAAGGATTTAAAAGCAAAGGATACCTGCGAATTATGTACTATCCATAAAAAGAATTTGCAAACCCAAATGATGTGTGATATTCCAATAATTCGGGTACTGATGTCCGATACCAGAGGGTATGTGTGCGTGTTTGTGTGCTTTTCTAAGAATCCGATCAATTTGGAACCCACATCCGAACTCACGGCCTTCGCTTGTTTTTTTACTGGAAGCGTTCAGCGGACTCTTGTCGTTTCATCACATCAGACTGAGCCATATAGAAGGTCTATGGGAAGCCGGGGTGATGAGTTTCAGAAGTCTCTTCTTAAAAGCCACGTCCACACGGATGTATACATTAGAAGAACTTTCCACGCTTATCACGAAGATTGAAGCATTCCTATATTAACGCCGCTCTCACCGATATCCGAAGATCCGACGAAGTTGTTAGCCCTTATTCTCGGGCACTGCCTTATGGAGGTCATTTAATGCTCGAACCCGAAATAAAGGGTCACATCAAATCAATCATTAATCGATGGCAGTATTTGCCATCAACCAGATTTGCCAGGGGTGGAAAGAGGAATACCTCAAGGAATTCCTCAAGACCAGACGGCAACGACAATTTTTTTTATCAAACAGGAAAATAAAAATGCCAATTAACGTGGTGGATATCCTTACCGCCCGTGATGTCCTTAAAAAACCTGTTTTAAAGGTCGTTCTCCTTCCTCCAGTTCTATTCAACAATTACGTGAATGTGTCTTTGACCTTCGACTTCTTTATTTAATCCTAGTTTTGCGCATTCTGACATGGCTCACGATCCCGTGCCAACCGAACAGTACAGAACAGACGTTTCCGAGATATTAACTCCTACCGTTGCCAAAACTGCTCAGTAGTGCATCCGTTAAAGACCTGCCGCTGCTTTTTACGCCCGAAGAACGAGAAGTTGCTCCGAGCCAATATAACGCGTATAAAATAACACAAATTATACTAGTAAAATATACTTTTATATATCGAAGACGATCCCAACTATTTTTCTTCGCTTTCTTATCTTGTTGACGGCCACAGATTACAGACACAAATTTACATACAACATTTATAAGTTTTAATTATCCTACACCTAAGAATCGACTTTAAATTATTAATTAAGGTGGTATTTATGAATTATATTAAAGTTCTGATGTCCGCTTTTCAGATCGGCTGGGATATACGCCCACTAGCGCTACCCTGCTCTTGGATATATAAATATATATGTGAGTAGGTATTTCAATAAATAGGTATATATTATAAAAAAGGGATATTAATAATACCAGGATAAAATGAATAAATAAATATGGACGGACTGACGAGCAGATATGGTCAGAAAATTGAAATAACAAATTATATATATGGGCATTTCAGTGCAAATTCCAACCGAGCCAAAAAATTAGTGAATAACTTTCATCTGAAAAACGAAATTCTTTCAGGCAACCTCGCTCGCGTATAAAATGCCTTAGGTAGATAACCAGTTAGTTCCTTTTGGCTATAAAAATGTTCCGATCTGAGCCTGATTCGGTTTTTACTTGTCTTCAAAGTTGTGTCCTTTGTTGGGGCGGGACGAAATTTTGAAACACACTTTAAATAGTGTGATATAACAGAGGTCTGGATACATTACAATTTGGTTGCTCCAGCTTTTATAGTCTCTGAGATCTAGGCGCTCATCGGGACTCATACGGAAAACCAAAAGGTATACATACTTATACTTAAAGTTTTTGCAACAAGTGATGGTATCGTAGCATTAAAAAGCTAATCGGTGAGTCTCAATACCCTCCGAAAGGGTATCCAAACAAGGTGGCTAACACCTATCGTTCATGAAATACTTGATCATGGACAAGATTTAGTCGTATATCAATGCCAAAAATGTCATGCCTCATCTCTCTCATTTGTCAGTACATTCTTACTACGTATGAATCTTAATTTTAACAGGTCCTGAAATAATTAATAATAGTTTAAATTTATAGTAATATTATTATTATCAAAACCGCGGAATGATTTCCTTTATTTCTAATTCGGTATAACAAAAAATGTGTACAGCGAGCCAACGTCATTCGCCCCATTCTGAAAATATATGTAGCCAAATGATGAATCGGGTTATTATTCTCTCTTAGACATACTGCCTTATATGTCATATATACTCGTATATTGAAAACTACCAGCAACGCTGGACTAACACACCTTTTATAACTTGTTATGTATTTAAATATGTACATATGTATACGTATGTATTTATCAATTACACGTATTTATTTGAATTATAAAAAGCCCTATGAATATTAAAAAGCTTTAACCTATACATAAAAATGTACATGCATAGAAATGAACTCATCTACAAATATTTTATTTAGTCTTAAAGTATAACTCGGCGCGTGAGTATCGCGAAAAAGCTCAAGGCTAGACTAACGGCTGGAGTTCATTACAAAAAACATCAAAATATAAACAAACATGAAGATCTGTACGTAACTAGGAATATAAAAACGTTTCTTTGTTTTAATGAGCGTACATTTTTTATTTGTGAATGTATATACATACATACATACATATCTTTTTATGAACCGAGATATGCCTTTATTTCTTGGAAAATATAGCAAAAAAAAAACCGTATATGTAAATATGAATGTATGAAAATAATGACTAAATACATGATATAATTAAAAAAGGTGAAATATTGATATCAACCGTATTTCAAATCAACATACATATGTATGTATGTATCTACAACTTTTTGCAATACATTTTTTCCTAAATACATCATCTATTAAAATAGAAGAGCACTTTTACTTTATGTCGCTCACGATCATTTTTTCAAAGAGGGCTATGTGTGTATTTACATATGTACATATGTATAGAACTACCGATACCTGGTAAGCACAAGTAATAATGAATAATACATGTACATATACATATGTATATACATATATACAGATATGTATAAATTTAGACATACACGTATTACTTGGGTCAACAATCCACGAGTGTGACGCAATTGCTCAGACAGTACCAAGAGAGCTGAAATAACAACTACACATGTATCTACAGGCTAGGTAAAAATTTATATTTTGGTTCTAAATACGTGTTGAACTGTTCCGATATCAGATACTCTGTTTGAATTCTATAAAAGTATAACATTAATAACCCTGGGTGATCGATTCAACTACGAACTCAAAATGACATACAAAGTCTAGGATTTTTGTTTGCTTCAATCATATTATTAAGATAGATTTCCGAACATCTAAATCGGTCAAAAGCTAATTTAATTATAAATGTCAAATTTGTTCGTCAGATGTTTACGTATGTGATTTTCACATAGCATTTAGCACAATAACACAAAAGTTGCCGCAGGTCTATCCAGTACAAAACAAAAGTACTGTCATGTTCCGACATTCGTAAACCATTGCGACTACGATTTTCTACTACATTTTCGTACGGATTGAATTGTGTGTGCTCCAGTTTTTAAAACTTTTTGCTATCAATAGTGTTTTATTCCAAAATGGTTTAGCGATATTTCACTTCAATAAAACTGCCTAATTTTTGGAAATTTCAATATTTTAGTTAAATATACCTTTTGCTTTGCAAAAACGAGCGGGAACGTTGTGATGTCTAATTTGTCACACAACACTTTACGTTTTCGTGCTAATAGCTATCGCATACCGATTTGGTTATGGACACATCTTAACGAGAGATTTATAAAGCATAGATGATACAAATTTGCGAAAACAGGGGATGGATTAGATGTAGGGTGTCACATAACTTTTGATTCTAACATCTGGTTATAGTAAACTATGAAATTATAAAAATGTCGAAGTTTACTTTTCATTTCTGTGTAATAAGTATTAAAAAAATAAAATTTACTGGAATAAAACACATTAATTCACGATCCAGATAAAAAACCCTTTTGAAATAAATCTCTAATAGCTAATTTAATTTAAATAAATTCAATCAGTCTTTAAAGAAAACATCAAATTTAATGCTGCCACTTTATTATATTTACGAAAATTTATTTAATACAATTTTTACCTAACGAGATCATATTTATTTTTAGATTATAACTATCAATGCTGAAATACTGACTTGCAATGAATTGGAATCGAAGAAATACCAGTGAAATATCAATACACAACTATCCCGAACACTTGAATCCGTTTTACGAAAATGATAATCATAAGCGTCTCCGATTTTGGAATTTTAGCAAAGAGGGGAACAATAAAAGAAGGAGCTTTTCAATTGGAAATTTGAAAAATATATGGTAAGTTTTTCTCTCAAAACGTCTTTTTTTTCGCGAGATCTTAAATCGAATGTGTTTTACGCATGAACTTTTGCGGATTGCAATACACCAAGACGTCGTAGGAAAAGATAATGTAGGGAATATTTAGTAAAGATTAGGTTAGGTTCATAGAGTTGCTCGACCACCTCTCCTCCTTCCGGAGTATCGTAAGGCGGGCTAAGACCCCGGTTAAAAACCGCGCGACTATTGGTTCCGCGTTCTACTCTTGAGAATGCTGTGCCACCGTCTGCCACTGTCTTACCGCCAGGTGGGTGCCAATGTGGCCATTTTCCGCACATTTAGGTTGTTACAAAAAATGTGGAGCCCAAAATCGATTAGAAAAGGAGTTGGTGTGGCTGTTGACTAGTCTTATAGGGCTCTCCAACTTATAAGATAAGCCTGTTAAAGTACAAATCCAGCTTGTTCATATTTTTTTCCGTGTTAAATATGTACAGATGATACGTGCGACATCATTAAAATGTCCATATACTTAAATACTTAGCTGACTTACTGAAATGATTGTTTTTTATTTTTAGGTCTTCCTATTCGCTTTCTCCCAAAAAATCATCGACATTGGGCATAAATAAAACATCCGAAAGCCCACCGATATTACGGAAAAATGTAAACAATAATGCTTGGAAAATGCGTGAAAATGATTTGGATAGTAGTACTCCAAATCTAAAGGGCTTCGGCGAAGAATTTCATAGAAGGTCTTTGCAGCATATCGATACAACAAGAAATGTAACGAGTTTTATTCATTGTTTGATTTTAAATCACGCTTTAACGATTTTTTGTTGTTGTATTTTCATTTAGTCTGATTTAAATGTGTTTTTTAATCGAAATGATGATTATCGAAGAACTACTCAGTTTTCTGGACACTCATCTCCGAAGCAGTTTACAAGGTAACAAGAAGAATTGAATATTAACCTAAATACTACATATACGCATTATTCAGGATATTCATAAACATAAATAGAACCCGACAGCTGGTCGTTGCTCGTGGGTGTATTGTTTGGTCCTTCGGCTTCTGCTGCTTTCCGAACATTATAGCGTCTGCCTCGTTTTACGTTGGTTATTTTTGTCCACGAGATTTCCGATCTTGTATCGGTATTCGCAATTCTCCCTTTTTATTGAATTGATCCCTGTATCACCAACCATCTCCGTTTCTATCAGCTGAGGTATATCACTATCCGGTCCATAACGCATTTTTACGAATTTTTATCATCATCTTAAATGGACAACGCTTTGTAGAAACATAGCCTTCTGAACTCGAGGTACTAATATCTTCTTTCGAGTACCTGGAAGTTGTCCAACGACAATTTGGAAATAAATAGATTTCCGAATAGATCGGCTTACCCCTGTGGTACTTCACACGTGCGACGTTATTGCGTCGCAATCTGTTACGAACATGATATTTGGAGACGACAGTACTCAGTGTCGAACCTTCGACACCTTCGAAAGTATCATTAAGCAATATCATCAGAAATCTTTTTCTGTCTGGTGGGCATAATAACTAATAGACTAATTTTTTAATTTACTTTTTCAGATTATCGCAGTCTAGTTTGTCAAGTAATAATCCGTTCGAATGCGAAGTCAACACAGATTTCAACATTCCAATAAGTAATAAAAAGTATCGGAAAAAAAGGCGAGCTCCACAGCCACCTTCCCCATTGGTAAGATTACATACATTTTAGTTTATAAACATATGTTATGCCGATTTCTTTATTTTAGCAAAGTGATATTGAAAATCTTTCAATTAATGATAACGGAGGACTTGACATTAAATCACTTGCGAATGAAATAGAACTGTTTGTTAATGAGAGATACGAATCCCCGATAAATTCTGATGCAAAGAGGGAACAACAACATCTGATTGACCAAAATATACAAAAACCATCATTGGCTCCTATAGCATCGGATATCGACGTTAAATTGAGTGCGACTAAAAACCCCGTCAAAGATACCACAACTAATAGCATAGAAAATGTTATATATGGAAAAGGGGAATTGTCAAATAACAAAGTTATAGTACCTGGGGTTGTTGGCAACACATTAACAAATTGCAATAAAAACCAGCCAAATGAAATACATCCACATGGAACATTGGAGTGTACTGAAGATATTGAAGCAAATGCTTTAACTATAAAAGATTTGGTTCTTCCAATCACCAAGCACTTAAATAAAACTATAACAAATGAGAACAATTTTGAAGAAAATCGTATTTCAAATACTAATACTAAATTACAGATAGAGAGATACGAATCTCTGATAACTTCTGATGCAAAGAGAGAAAAACAAAAAATAGAAAAACGATCATTGGCTCCTATAGCATCTGATATCGATGTTAAATTGAGCTCGACTAAAAACCCCGTCAAAGATACTACAATAAAGAGCCGAAATGGCATAGAAAATGTTATTTCTGAAAAAAGGGATTTGTCAAATAACAAAGATATAGTGGCTGGGTTTGTTGGTAACACATTAACAACTTACAATAAAAACCAGCCAAAGGTAATACCTCCACATGGAACATTGCAGAGTACTGAAGATATTGAAGCAAATGCTTTAACTATAAAAGAGATGGATCTTACAACCACCAAACCCGTAAATAAAACTTATAACAATGAAAACAATTTTGAAGAAAACCCTATTTCAAATATTAATAGCAAATTACAGATAGAGATATACGAATCTCCGATAAATTCTGATGCAAAGAGGGAAAAACAAAATCTAATTAACCAAAATATAGAAAAACCATCATTGGGTCCTATAGCATCGGATATCGACGTTAAATTGAGTGCGACTAAAACCCCCGTCAAAGATACTACAATAAAGAGCCGAAATGGCATAGAAAATGTTATATGTGAAAATAGGGATTTGTCTAATAACAACTATATAGTGGCTGGGTGTGTTGGTAACACATTAACAACTAATAATAAAAACCAGCCAAAGGTAATACATCCACATGGAACATTGCAGTATACTGAAAATAGTGAAGCAAATGGTTTAACTATAAAAGATTTGGATCTTACAACCACAAAACACGTAAATAAAACTTATAAAAATGAAAACAATTTTGAAGAAAATCCTATTTCAAATACTAATACCAAATTACACAAGCATGACCAAGAACAAGACCACCCTATTTCAAAAGGTAATAATAGAAAATATCAATATGACAAACCTTACACATGGAAAGAAAATCAAAATTTTACTGTTTCAGAGGAAACCAACAACCTTCCAAATTTAATGAAAAAGTTTGCGTTGAACGAATCTGTATCATATTCTAAGAACAATGTTTATGATAATACTCCTCAAACTTCAACATCAACAGATCACAATTCAAACCAATTGAGCCTACAAAAATCATTAAATAAAGCTATTGAATCTATAAATCGTAATCAACAGCTGTTAAATGAAAGTGCAGCCAAAGGAACAAAATTAAACCTTACATATTTGAGTCAGTGTGATGAAACAAAATTTGTCTACGCAAATGAATTAAATAGCCCAAACGTTAGATGTTCGGAGCCGGAATCAAAAAATATTTCAAACTTCACTTCTAATACCGACGAAATTTTATCAAAAACTGAAAATAATATCTTTTATAAAACAAAAATATTGAAAACGACGGGTCAGTACAGAGAGTCATCCCCAACGTCATCAAACTTAGATTGGAACCCTTTACCAAAGCCAAAGCGAACTAGTCATTAAGAAGCTTTAATTGTACAGAGTCCTTTCCAATAAATAAATTGATCTACATATATTTTTCGTCCTATTTTATACATTATACTAAACAGTCTAGTAGTAATGTTAAGCACATTGGAACATGTAACACTATTTATATTTGAATTGGGCCCCATATGGCTTTAATGTTAACAAACGTTGACGGCAGACTGCTGCGCTCTCCCTGTTGACTGACACTCTGAAGTATCCGCTGCGGCTTTGGTTTGATCACCCAGTGTCGCGCATTGGGGCCTTAGCCGAAAATATACGCATCTGAGAAACCACAGCGGATATAAACAACAACGGCGGCGAGGTTTTTTCCAGAGGTTGTGCTTCTTTTTTCACATAACTTAAGTATATCTGACTTCTGTAATTCTGCAAAACTGACAAATTCGCTATATATCTTACCCGAACCCTTTGTAGCTTAACCTTATCGTCTACAAAATATTGAGATTTCAAATTAAAAATTGTTTGGTGGTATTTTTAAACGAAATTTTGAGTTTGAAAACTCGGGAAAAGTCGAAATAAATGTATTCCTCAGGGTTTTGTACTATCTGGTATAGGTACATTAATTGGTCGTCGTTTAAGGTATCGTTTGTCTATGTATAAACGGTTAAGGTGCAGCCATCTGATCAAACCCCTGAATGCCGCATTTTACATATAATTCCGTTACACGAAATGCGACCGGTTTTTTTTTGGTTGTAGAATTTATAAGATGCCAATGGATCCATTCTTTGCGATAGGACCATGGCTTTGTGGCGACTCTCTGAAACCTCAAATGGATAGGCCCTGTTTTGAGGAAAATTCAAACTATTGGACTACATGTAAGGGGCCAATGCGCCATAGCTGTAAGGCTAAACCTATCCCCTTCGCTATTTGTGTGCCATCGTTAAACTCCAACTTCTCACAACCGGATTCGCTTTCTCCTTTGCCAGCAGCCGTTTTATTTGCCGTCCCCTTCTTGCGAAGGACGCAACATGATATATTAGTCCAAAGGGTAACTCTCATTCTACATATATTTATTGTTTTATTATAATCAATAAAGTGGCCAATTCAATAAGTTAAACTTGCATAAACTTTATTATTCAGAACAGAACTTTGTTATTTTATGCTCATCAGCTTCTTTTTGATGGATGGTGCCAATGTGAATCGTGTTTCATGTCTGTCAAAAAATACCACCGTTCCACCGGGATATACTCAGTGTAAAGAGCCAACGGAGTTAAATATCGCATAGAAACGTGCAGATTAGGCGCATCTCAGATGGATGGTGGAATAAATGAACAAAGTTTGGATCGGCAAAATATTACGGACAAACCGAGGAATGTATGATGGATGGTCGCCAGTGGAAATAAGCTCTGAGCGTTTATATTGGCCTAAGTTACGTTATTGCTCTATAAAACAGCATTATTTTTTCCGATAACGAGAGAGGCAATTTTTGGAATTCAATGTGCGAGTTTTTCTCACACCATTAAAAGCATTCGTGTTCTGCTTTCATAAATTTAAGCGTTCATGTTTCATTTTCAAAGTTCCAAAGCGAAGTTCAAAGTTCCATTGGTTTGACGCTATTTTGACGGACATCGACTTTTTCGTTGGTCATAGCTGCTCATCTACCCGGCTACATTTATTATTGTATTAATTTCTTCAATCTATAAATAAGATGTTGCGCGAGACAGATGGAGGCATGTCTTATTTTCTTCTAATAGCCATACCGGTGCTAGCTTTTTGTTTACCAGTAATGGCAAGCGAATTCGAAGTTATGTCTATGTCTAAATTCGACGTCAATGGTCAAAATTTTGGTATGTTCATATTTACTTTTTCTATGATCTGTTTTATTTAATTTAATGTTGGATCGTTTATTTATATTCGCACTGTTTATTACTTAAACCTACGTGGAATTTCTTGTTTATTTTGATTGATCCTTGTATATATACATATATATTAGCACAGCAATACTTTTTCAATTAACAGTTTATTTAGTAATTTCTTTTACGCGGGTTGAAATTTATCGGACCAAAAAAGTCGAACTGAAAACTAATTTTCTCAAGGACTAATGTGAGAGTAAACTGTTAACCGTGGGCCAGCTGATTCAATAATCAAAGAGATCCTGTCGTTTGCGCTGTACAGCACATTTCTGCGCTTGACGTTGCGTTGGAGCGCTCAACAGCACATTTGTGCGCTTTACAACACCCTTTCTTTTCAGCCGACAAATTACCGGCCTGGAGAAAGCCGACGAGTTTATGTGGTCGTTATATTTTTTGGAACGACAACCAACCGTCACCTTAATTCGAAGTCGATAAACCAATCTTTAGTTATACCCGATATTCAAAGAGTATAGGGTTATATTCGATTTGTGGTGAAAATAAATGTGTGTAACACCCAGAAGGAAGCGTTCCCGATCATCATCAGCATCAATTACCGAGTCGATAGAGACATGTCTGTCTGTCCGTCCCGATTAGTGCATAGATCTCAGAGACTATAAAAGCTAGAGCAACCATATTTTTGTATTCAGAATCCTGTGATCATGTTCTCACGCAAATATACTGATTGGAGACTATTTTAATTTTCAGCGCTTGAAATGTTAGTTGGCTTTCTCCTGAAACCCGTAAATTGACAAAGAGACCAATGCATACAAGAATCAGAGATATACAAAAACAACAGAGATAATACACTGAGATAAAGTTCAGTGGATTCTTAGATAGCCGACAGACCAAAATACACAAATAAAAATGATCCGCCCATACAATAATTTGAAAGAAACATTTCGGCTTGCAAAAATCATCAAATCTGAACGAATAAAGAAATATTCATGAAATAAATTTAATTTGAAACAAAGCTTATTCATGGCTCTACGATATCTAGATTGTAGGTGATGCAAACATGCAAAACATGTACTGTTGTATGAATCGTTCGTATGCTCTTACTAAAAAATACACATTATATCCATTGAGTTAATCGTCCTCTTCTAAAAATATAAATACTAAATACTAGCCCATACCTTTTATTAATGTTCTAAATTGATAACTTTTTTTATCTACCATTTTGAGACATTACCAACATGCATATTGTTTACAAACATTATGTTATTAATAAATCATTATTCACTTATAATTTTTAGGTAGCCGGCAATCGTCAATTTCCCTAGAAGCGAGATCATTGTATTCATGGAATACCTCACGACATTGTGTTCTCACACGGTAAGTCCACGGTACGCACAGTACTACATGCGAACACTACACGGTTAGAGATTAAAAGTTTGATCACCAAAAGGAATATAACGAAAATGTGCGTATGAGCATGTCGCAAAAGATATTTACAACTCACATACTACTTCATCTCGGTGTGAATTATAATGCAGACCCTTTCTAACAATTCAACAAAATGCTTAATTGGTTCATCAATTTTTAAGATATTTGAAGGGTGTGTTCGATAAACTCTCATTTAAGCCAGGCACAAATATTTCATCGAAGCCCATCTACTAAAAAATTATTTACTATTTTATCTGTTTTTTATTCTTCTACAAGTCGCTCCCTCCCCAACCATTAAATCGTGATCTAAGTTGAACTAGGTCTTATAGTCTCTAGGCGTCAAACAAGACGGACAGACAGGCATGGTTATATCGACTCGACTATTGATGCTGATCAACAATATATTTACTTCATATATTAAAACACCAATTTTTTATTCCATTAAAAAAAACCATGAAAAAAACCATTATTCATTGAACAATTTTAAAGTGCCAAGTTTTGAACAGGGTTATCAGTCAAAAATCAGCACCACAACGAATAAATAATACGTATTGTTTATTTATAATTTACTTGGGGGCAAGCCTTTTCTCGCTTTGCTCTTTCGCCAACCCCGTCTCACTTGCTTAACCAGCAAATAAAAATAGCCTCGCTGCACTATGTGGCGGTCAGTAATGGACCCCATTATCGGAAAAAAAAAAATCGAGACCACTAGGACGACGACGAACCAAAACTTGTTTATATAATAGACAGATTTATAATATTTATAATTTATTCATAATAATATTTATTCCATTTTATATTATAGATTAATTAATTTGTCTGTTAATGACTTTGACAAAATACGCCAAAATGCAGGAGGCCTTATCATTATGTTGCCGTCGGATATTATGAAATTGGACGCTGAAGCTAAGGAGCATATAGCCGTCCTAGAGCAGGCGATGCTCACGCATACTGGGGCAGTGCCAATTTATTTCGCCCCCTATAATATAAATTTGGAAAAAATAATTGACGAGATCACTTATACAACCATAAAAGCTTCTAGTCAAAATCAAACATCGGTTGCACAATTGATTATGTCAGTTTCAGCCAATGGATATCATGCAACTGTAGGTGGTACTAACAAAGTCGCAAACAAAAACAGCAAGATACCTATTATCTACGGCGAGCTGTTATCGAATCAATTGCATTTAAAGGCCAATGACAACGCTGTCGATGCACACAAGTTACCAGTAATATTGATAACGGCAACTCTCAAAACATTTGGTGTATTTAATGTAAGTATTATGCAATTTTTTATGGTGTCACCTCAGCATATTAGCCATAACCTTCTGAAGGAATACAGCTATTGTCCCAACACAAACTTTGCTTGAAATGACAAAATAATCTGCAAGAAGCCAACGTAGTTTATATTGTATTTATATTATTAGTCCGTGTTCTTTCACATACAATATATTATTCTATTCGACTTGGTCTTTCTTTTTATTAGCTAATTTGAATGGCTTGTTTTATTTTCAGGACTATCCCGTGAATGCTGATGTAACAGTCTTACTGGCACTCATAGAAATGTTTAGTAAGCTGCATTCTACGACAAATATGGCTCCAAACTACCGTCTCATTTTTATGATTTCGGATACCGGTCTACTTCTTAACTTTCAAGGCTCGAAGAAATGGCTAGAAATAGACGATAATTCCGCTTTACAGGTAATAAACTTATTACTACAACAAATTGTAAGGAAAGGGAGGTAGGCAATAACCTGCCAAAGTAATAGATAAACCATGTAAATATTAAATTTGATAAAACCAAAGACTGTAAAACAACAAGATATTGCATCGGAAACAAATGCAATAAATCAAATTCAAATTTTCGTTCGTCGGTTCAGGATACGGGTGCTCGGTATACGGGACCTTTAATAATCCTCACCTATGCTTCTACATACATACTCGTGCATACTATGACTGCTATACTATATACGTACACTGTTCAACATAAAATATAACTACATATATAATTCCCTTAGTAACATATTTTTAAATTGATTATTTTTATACAGAATGTTGAATTTGTGCTTTGCTTGGATACCATCATAGAAAGTTTATCCTCCAATCCAGATATGGATATGTACATGCATGTTTCTAAGCCACCCAAAGAAAAAACGTCAATAAGCCACTTCTTCAAGCTACTTAAATCTACGGCAGAAAAATATAACATAACGGTAGAAGGTGTCCACAAGAAGATAAACTTAGCTGATTCAAAACTTGCATGGGAGCATGAGCGATTCAGCATCAAACGATATCCTTCTTTTACCCTATCTTCGCTGAAAAGTCATAGAAGCCCATCGCGAACAACAATATTCAAGGATGATGAAACACGTATTTTGACACATACACTTATCGCCTCAAGAATAGTAGCGGAAGCCCTGGCTAGTTTCATGTACAAAATGGAACCAACGACAAGTATTTTTGACGGTCAATTTGTAAGTAATGCCGTTTACGAGTATCTTAATATTATTTAACACATAATTATGTTTTTTTGCTTAAATTTGCAGGCCATAAAAGAAGAAAATGTCTCGCCATACTTCGGAATCAAATCAGTGTTGCATAACAATGATCTTAAAGATGCTTTTGAAAAGTACCTTAACAATGTTAAAATCATATATGATAAAGCCGATAGTCGAGATCCTGATTTTATGTTCTACAACGAAAACGATGTGAAACTGAATGTTTACAGAGTTAAACCAGCTATTTTTGATATTTTCCTCACTATTTTAATAGGCTTTTATTTGTTAACTGTATTCTTTGGCATTCAATACTTTCCCCTCTTTTACGACAAAGTTTCAAGACTTACAAGAGATGATACCTCGGTACAAACTAATGGACACTACCCCGAACGACTAAAGTTCAAGTGAAGTTTCGTTAAAACTTTGTCATTATCAATCAATTTTTTGCTACATCATTAAGTATAAAGAGAAAGTTAAATAAATTTAGTGCAATTTGATACCAAAGATGTTTTTTGAAATTTTGTTGTTTAAATCTCTTTGCCTTTCTGTATTCCTTACTCTAGATGTTAATCCACCGCCCCAAGAAAAGACAGGAATGTAGAATCAGATAACATAAATTCTACGCAAATATATAATTAGGTAGAAAAGGGATAAACGAAGTGCAAGAAGGACGTCTCCATCCATTATGAGAATGGAAGTGGAGTGATTGGTATTATACACCTTCCGGAGAAGTTGTACAACAGCATCTCTGCGGACGAGCTGAGCACGAACCAAGGTAGAGGCCTTACTGAACACCCAGCCAATCGCATCGCTAGGAAACAATCCCTGAGATGAAAAGCGCAATCATTCGCTTCCGTCCGAATACGAGAAAGATGACAGATGCAGCAGTGGCAGCTGCGAGTATTTGAAGCGGTGGCAAATACTGTCAGATATCAACGGTATTGACCTACACAATTGGGTTTCTTTCAGATGCTGAATGAGTTGCCCAACCGTAGGGATATCACGCTGTGGGTCCAGAAGGATTCTGTGATGAGGCATCGGTTGCACGGCATCGCTAGGGTTTTTCTCGACAAGGGATTCCCACGAGAGCGTATGTTCTTTGGCGACTCGGGCCTATCCGATTTACACAGAACGAATTTTTGTTTAGTTTCGAGTTTCTGTTTGGTTTCAGGTAACTACACTATCCTTTCTTATAAACCTAATCAAATTTAATCAATCTTTTTTATATTTTCCAGAACTATTACGGGTCAAAAATGTATGGCCCTTGTGGATCGTGATGTCCCTTGTGCTGTGGAGGCTTTTGTGGTGGCTGCTGCTGAGCAATAACGACAGGGGCTATGCCTTCCATTAAAAATCCTGTGACTCCTGCAGAAATCTTGAATCTATCGTGTAGTCTTTACAAATAAAACATTTACATATAAAACCTTTTCCCAAATCTTATTAATTGGTGGGCTGTCTCATGTGGATTGTGCCAATATGTATTTTTATGGTTAAATTTGCTTAGACTGTTGGAAAATTCTTGATCCTTAACAAGGAATCCATAAAATCAGGGTATTTTTCTGATCACAGGAAGCCATGGCATGTCCTTATCGGCTCACAAATAACGGAGAAAATTAAATATTTTTGATCCTTGATATCCTTGGTCCTTGAAAAGGACTTCATCAAATCAGGGACATTTTTCCGATCACAGGAAGCCGTCGCACGTCCCGATCGGCCCATAAATAAGGGAGAAAACAAAACTGGCTTGTAATTTGTTGTTTTTGAAAATGTAGTTCACGAAATCCTCTATAGGGGCGCCACTGTACAAAAAACAAAAACTCGCGTCAAATGGTCAAAATCTGGATGGGACACCAGGCAAACAGAAATCAGCAGCAAGCAACTGTAGCGAGTGCAAAAAATGGTGCATACTTTTGGGGGACCAAAAATTTTTTAAAAAATTCAGCGACCTTCTGCTGATTTCTGTTGGCCTGGTGTCCCATCCAGATTTTGACCATTTGACGCGAGTTTTTGTTTTTTTTTTTCAAAGCCAGTTATAAGACAGTTTGGTTTTCTCCGCTATTTATGGGACGATCTGGGCGTGCGACGGCTTCCTGTGATCGGAAAAATGTCCCTGATTTTATGGCGTCCTTATCAAGGACGAAGGATCAAGGATAATTTTCCAAGACATATATATCTTGTTTTCTCCGTTCTTTGTGGTCCGATCGGCACGTGCAATGGCTTCATGTGACCGGAAGAAAATCCTTGATCTGATGGAGTCCTTATTAAGGACCAAGAATCTAGGAAATTTTTACAGTCGCATATATTTTGTTCTTTCCGTTATTTATGGGGCAATCAGGGCGTGCGATATCTTCATGTGATCGGAAAAATGTCCCTGATTTGATGAAGTCCTTTTCAAGGACCAAGGATATCAAGGATCAAAAATATTTAATTTTCTCCGTTATTTGTGAGGCGATCAGGTCATGTCATGTGATCAGAAAAATACCCTGATTTGATGGAGTCCTTGTTAAGGATTAAAGATTTTCCCCCAGTCTAAGCCAATTTAACCATAAAAATACATATTGGCACAATCCACATGAGCCAGCCCACCAATTAATAAGATTGGTGTAAAGTTTGTATTTGTAAATGTTTTATTCGTAAAGACTACACGATAGCTTTAAGCTTTCTGCAGGAGTCACAGGACTTGTGATGGAATGCTTAGCCCCTGTCCTTATTGCTCAGCAGCAGCCACCACAGAAGCCTCCACAGCACATGGGACAGCACGATCCACAAGGTCCATACATTTTTGACCCGTAATAGTTCTGGAAAATATAAAAAAAAAATGCTTAAATTTTGATTAATTTTATAAGAAAGGATAGTGTAGTTTCCTGAAACCAAACAGAAACTAGAAACTAAACAAAAATTCGTTCTGTGCTAAACCGATAGCCCCGAGTCGCCAAAGGACATACGCACTCATGGGAATTCCTTGTCGAGACGTCTGTGGGCAAGCAAAAACCCTGGCGATGCCGTGCTACCGATGCCTCATCACAGAATCCTTCTGGATCCACAGGGGGATATCACTACGGTTGGGCAAATCATTCAGTATCTGAAAGAATTGTGTAGGTCAGTACCGTTGGTATCTGACAGCATTTGCCACCGCATCAAATACTCGAACCTGCCACTGCTGCATCTGTCATCTTTCTCGTATTCGGACGGAAGTGAATGAAGCAACTGAACGATTAGCACGGTCCCTGGCGTTAGCGCTTTTCATCTCAGGGATTGTTTCCTAGCGATGCAATTGGCCGGGATTTCAGTAAGGCCACTTCCTCCACCAGATTGGTGCTCAGCTCGTCCGCAGCGTTGTCGTTGTACACCTTCTCCGGAAGGCTGGAAGGTATATCACACGACGTTATTTTAGACGTCTAAGATAACCTGACCATTTAAGGGACATGATAGAAGAGACGAAAGCTCTGACTGAGTACTTCCCGCAATCCCACTTACTTGAGCTTTTGAAAACTGATCGGATCCATGTAGAAACGATATTGTCTATCTAAAACTAGCGGGAAGTATATGATGAAGTATATACAAGTATATGTACTTTCTGCTTTCTGAAAGACTACTTTCAAGTTAAGTTTACTTTTATATTCAATCGAAATTGGTTACTGTTTTTTGTTTGTAATGCGGAACTTTGCACTACAAAACAAAACAGAACTGCATATTCAAAATTCAAAATATCAGTTTTTGTACTTTTCTAATTAAAAAAAAAATATGATGCACATATAATTCTTTGTATGACGTATATCTCCTTTAAAATTTATTCTAAAATTAATAAAGTAAACAATTTTGGGCTGTAAATATTAGTGCTTTTGATGGGTATTTGTATATAATGTGTCGTATTGAAGTGTCGCGAAGTGTTATATACTCCTGCAGACTGTAAGTACCGAGTATAAAAACGAATACCTAATGTAATTTCGGGTTTAAAAACGATTTCATGTACTCTAAAAATATATAAGTTAAAAATAAACGCGCAGGAACGCTGCGAGTTGAAGCTATGGCCGCGACTCTACTTTTATACCCTATACTCGAAAGATGGCCAGATGGATTTCTACCTCACTCAGGCGCTGGGCGTAAGTCAAAAAAACCACGTAAAAGTCCTTTTCTATCGAAGTAGAATATATTTTAAATTTTAAATTATTCTGATGGATATAAATAAGATATTAGATATTTTAAAATTTTAGCACCATATATGGCAATCAGTCGCACTCTCATAAATTTCGTCCCAAACCAAGGTTTAGCTTACTCAAGGCTTACATATAAGGAAAAACTCAAACTTACTTCTGAAAAAACATAAGAAAATATGTTATTATTAAAAGAAAAACCATAATGATAGACAAAAATGTAATAAAAAAGGCAGACCCTATTAGTCGGTTTGATGATAGGAATGAAAGTTTAGATTCTTTTAATAGCCTAGTGTAATTTGCCGATGGCGGCCGATGTGGCTTTACTTATTCCAACTGAGGAGCGCAGTGTAGGTACATCTGTTTGAGCATGAACAAGGCCGCATTTTACTTGTGTTAATACCAAAAAATACACGCGAGAAAAGGGCGAAAGCTCATAAGCTGAGCTCTTTGCGGAATCCAAATGATCTAAAAACATTCATCGATCTCGTTTATACTTACCGACGGCCGCTTTGTATTAGTTGTTGATTGATTGATGGCAATACCAAAAATGTTGTTTATGTAAAACACTTCTTTTCCTTGATTGACCATTAAATTTTCTTGAAGGCAATTTATGTATTAAAGATTACGACGCATTCCATTTTATTAAAATCGCCTATTTCTAGAATTCGATTTAGTGTAGTCTGTAATTAAGGTATGGCTTAATATATTGTTTCTTAATAGTTTTCTACGTTATCTTAAGTATTAAGTGCTTGCAAATGTAATCTTTAGATCCTAATCAACGCATGTTCATTTAATATCGTAAAATAAATAATTGAACGGTTATCAAAGCTACACATTTTTTAAAGGGACTGATCGAAAACGATCATAGGCTAGATTTTTAGATATTTCCAGTATTACTTAAAATTTTAATAATATTTACGCATAGTACTATCAAGCAAATAGTAGTCGCGTCTTCCGATATTTTTAGAATCGGTGATTTCCCACTGGAGAACGAGATCTGAAACGGCATCCTCCTTGTCCACCGCTACGACCATAGCTCGTGCTGTTGCCACTACTGTAGCGGCTGCCATCGCGACCTCCGCCATAGACATCACGACGACTAAAGCCGTTGCTTCCGCTATCTCTTCCGCTATAGCCTGCACCAGATCGCCCGGAGCTATAACCACGCTCAGCATGTCGGCTACTGGAACCACTCGAACCACGTACTTGTCTAAATCCACCGTTGCTACTGTTTATGCTGTGCCTGCCGAAATCACCACGACGACCGCGTTCGCTAGATCCACCACGCCTGCTTTGGCGTGGCCGCCCCTTGGATATTTCCACACGCAATTGGGAGCCTAAAAGTTCTGAACCGTTCAAAATATCACAAGCTTTTTCGGCATCATCCCGGTGTTCAAATTCCACAAATGCGAAGCCAGGGGGATTGAACGCAATCCAAACGGAATTTAGCTTCCCATACTTGGTAAATTCTCCTTCGAGGTCATCTTTTTTGACTTTATCAGTTAAATTACCGACATAAACTCTAGTCCCACGTTGATCGGTCATACTTGTCATTGCACAGCGATATTTAATATTCCTTCAGTGCAAAAAAATCAATACGTTTTCACAACCCTGCAAACGAGCGTTTGTATGTATATCAAGTTTTGAGCTACAGTAAGTCCACACATTCATAACAGGAATATGAACAGACACTAAAGACATTATTGGAACACCGAAATAGAAGAACAAATTTATTTTCGTTTGAGAACTCTTAAACTGTGTGGGTTTCTCTTTTTCTCTTTTAATTTTTAATTTTCAATTGTTTTAATTTTTATCCACAACGTGTTTTATCACTTGTCTTTGTTTGTTGTTCTTAAAAATGATAAAAATGCCAGTTATTTGTTTCAACTGCTTGCTTTGAAGCACAACGGGGTCAGAAAATTCGGGATATACGAAAATCAAGACGTCTTAGAAGGAAATATCTCTAAAATATGTCGAACGCGCACAAAAGCGATTGTTATCCGTAACAGAGCTTAATTTCTAAACTTCTTAAATAAAAAAAATAATACTGTTGTGAAGAAATGTTAATAATTGTTGAACAAAACTCCACTTATTTCACTCGGGAAGGTAACAACCGGAGCCAACTCGAGCATCTTGGTTATATTAAGCACTGAAATTATGTATTTAACATTTTCTTTGTGGTGTTAATAAGAAATTTTTACCTTACCAACATAGATAAAGTAGTTTTCTATTGCTTTACCTGTTATTCGAAATAACAGATGTTTAATTAAACCGCCCGTAATTAATTAAGCGCTTTTTAATATCCTCTGTACACAGGACATCTCTTGGAGGAACGGTGGGAAAACGTGGAACAATATGTAACACCGATTTTCACTGAGCGCCATCCCTAACAATAATAAACTTTTAGGATGGAATGTGAAATTTCAATTAAATTTCAGATTGCAATCATTATGTTGGCGATTCTGTATTATTTGATCTGATTAGATCAGCGATTGCAATGATGCTTGCACTCTGTGCATATATATTTTTAGTAACCATACATATGTTGTGAGCCTAGGGGACTGTGTCAATAGTGTTTGCGGCCTTTTTTTAAAGAAAGGAATATAACTGGAGATAACTGGTAGAACTGGACGGTTTTTAACAGAGTGCAGGGGAGGATTTTCAAGGATCACAAATGGTTTCGGAGCTCTAGGCGCTCCATTTTTTTCGACGAGGTTGCACCTTAAGCTATAGAAACGAAAATTTGCCTTGATAAGGTTTGACAAGGTGACCCAAAAATTCTTTCAATTCTTTGAGACAGAGTTCAAAAGGGGCAAAAACAAATGCAACTTTAAAATATATTTGTTGTGTTTTATTTTACATAATAATATATAACATAACAAAAACGTCTATCATAGACGACTTTTGTTAATTTTTAGTATCATTAACGAGTCAACTAAATATTTTAGTGCTAATGTACTTTTAATACATATTGTGATCACAATGTGTGTTAATGTAGCAAATTCGTCTCGTAAGTGCAATTTTACTGCCAAAAATAGTTTCTGATCTAATTTCGATGGTATTACATATTTGATTTCGCGTAACCCTCGTTTGCTATATCGTTAACGAAGTATTGGGCCACTGAGAAATAATTGACCTGCAATGGCAGGAGACTCTGCTAACTGAGGGTTTTCTTACTGAAGTTTTCTGGCTCGCCTACTGAAACTTTCTGTGTCGGCGTGGACGTCCGCCATGGCACAACTTCACGCAGATCAACTGCCGTCAAATCAGCTTCTGGTCTCTATATATGCACAAAGCGGGAAACTCTGGCAATACAATCTCTTTTCATTAAACACCTTAGAGAATAGATGTTCAGGGGCCTTAAGTTTGAAGTTAACGAACTTTAACGCAGAAAGATCGGCATCACGCTTGACCAACTTGGGCCATGAAATTGTCGCCTCAGGTTATCGGCAACAAATTTCGACGCCGCCTCTAGCTGCGGTAGTGAATATAGCGATAGGTATTTGCTGCTCTGCATAACTTCCACTTGCCTATAGGTCGGAGGAACACCAACAAAACGCTTAGGGTCACCAGCCATGGAGATAGTAAGTCAGCCGGCGAAATCATTTGCACCAACACAATAATCACAACGAAATTGAAAATCAGTAACGTCCAAATCGCATTCCGAATAGTGGAGAAGCGATATAACGAAAACTGACGTTGTTTCGTTGAGACCGAACGTAGTGAGAGCTGACTGATCAGCCAAAGATGGATGTTTCTCACGCTCTGCATCAATTTTTTTAGGCACAACAACTGTCACGCATCTAAGGTCTACGATTAAATGTGTTTTACCTGTTTTTCACAGTGGCAATGCATAGTGCTTTATTGCTAAAAGTTGAACATTAGTAAGCATTCTTGGCTTGAAAACACTTACAAATTACGAAATCATAAAAAGCTCATGTATTAAGTAACAGCTGTATGCAGTGCCATGTTTTTTTTGTTTTTGTTTTTTTTTTCGTATTGTTTATATATTTCGCTCGTGCCCAGCATAATATAAAAAAATGGTACAGAATAATTTGTATGTAAATGCCATCTTTTGTTGAAGCGCACAAACATATGTAAAAATTTTACTGTTTCTATTGTATTAATTCGACCTTTTCTTTATCAGAGTCCAAATTGCCGTCGATCTTGTAGAATCGTATGCCAGTTAGAAATGATGTCCAGCGCGCCTCGATTCAGTCTACTGCTGTCGAGAACTCGGCTGGAAAAATATTATCTGCGATGACTTTTAAAATCACTGACGGATCGGAAATGTAAATTTGGTGGATTTTGAGTCCATGTCCAGTGAAAGTTCCTGCAAAGTTTGACTCGTCCATATTGTCATTGAGGACCATTTTTCGGCTCAAGCCTGAAAGTCTTTCGAGTGTTCATCAGTACGACGAAGTGTTCTGATCTCTCGTCTGAGGACTATCGCAAAGGATCGCTTTTGTCTGAAAATAATAGATACAAGTCTATTCACCCATTTTTCTTTCGTTTTCCATAATTTTGTTTTTTTTCCAGACATTAAATATACAAATCAGCTGTTTTCATAGCGCAATAACGCAGATTATGTCAATGTAATCGCCTATTCTTCGTTAATTTCGACATCGATAGCATACTCACGTGTGTGTAACTAGGCTATCAGAATCGGTTTGTCTTAATATTTTACGATCTTGGATAAATGAATACCCTCTGCAATGATTCACAAAATAAAGCAACCCTACTTTTATAAACCGTGTGTTTGTAAATATTATGTAAAAGGATGAAATTCTACACTAAGTTTAATTGGCTTTGCATATATTTTGCTATTAGCGCATTTGGTGTGTCAAGCCAAGAGGATTATTGTGCAGAGCTTTCTACGCAATCATTAAGCCGAATTTTGGGCCAAGCATTCAATCCGCGCTATATGAGTATTGATCCGCCAGGAGGACCGCATGAAGAAAGCTACAATTTGGGATATAAAAGATCGTCATATGAAATACCATTTTATGCCGACAGTGATGTCGTTTCATTGGGAAACTTTCCGGCTTGGGAGACAAACCATTTTGCATATTTCGGAAAAAGAGAAGAACCCATTAAAGGCAGGAAAATCCGCATAAGAAGTCCTGTTGTGGAAAGAGGTGGAAATCCGAACATTGACGTTTTTAAACACCGTCCGTGGGAGTGCTCATCGAAGATTAATTGGATTGATTTGGGATTAAATTATTTTCCACGTTATATCCGTTCGATTGAATGCATTTCTAGAAAATGTTGGTATGGGCACTTTAATTGCAAACCAAAATCATTTACTGTAAAAGTTCTGCGCCGAAAAAGTGGCTCATGCATTCAAATAAATGATAAATTAGTTTTAATTACCGCAGAAAAATTTAAAAATGATTACGCGCAGCTCTGGATTTGGGAGGAAATAGCAGTTAATTTTTGCTGTGAATGTGTTATGCTATACTTATAGCTCTGTTTAATAGAATTCACAATATAAAAATTTCAAATTCTTAACAAAAGACTTTAATAGCGTTGGGAACAACAGATAACTTAATGGGTCTTGCATCATATTCCTCTCCGTCAATTGAATAAACGTTAGTCGTTTCTCCGGTTGGATGTAACTGGATAGTGCGACTTCTCAGTACTAGTTGTGGTACAATAGTGCTAGATGTAATGCTTGGAATAGTTTTAATAAAATCCCAACCTGGTTGTAATGAGCTTATGAACTGAGTTTCCAGCTCGGAAAAGTTCTCACTGTTTTGAATACAATTAATGTCTATTTGATTGGCTTCCATCTTTCCTTGCTGCTTACTACTGCACTCGCTATTTTTAACAAGCTGTCTTTGAGGTTTCATGTTGCTGCGGTTAGGATTGACAAGTTTTCCAAGGAAATTATTTAGAAATTTGCTCTCTTCATTCCGAACCTCAACGCAGTCCAAGCATCCTGCGCAAGGAGGCGTGTACACATAATCAGTCTCTAAGCTCCAATTATTCGAAAATAATTTGGAAACGGCAGCCACATAGTGTCTTATTGGACCGAAGTACCAATATTTTTCTTTTGTAGAGTCAATATCCTTCAACAGACCCCATGAAAAGCCATTTAGTCCGAATATCGGCTTTAAATGTTTCTCACTATCATCATCGTTATTGATAACGTCGTATCGGATTACGCTCTGGTACATGAAATCATCTTTTAGCATTGGCAATAATGCACTACATAACGATTTTATATAATCCAGCTCACTTTGAACACCAATTTGAAAATATTTATGTGTAGCTTGGTTTGTACGTCCCAGTGGAAGAATTGTGATTGGGCATACATTTTCATTTCTTCGCATTAGGCCTGTTACAACCTCTGATGAGGTGCCATCTCCACCTGCAATAACAATTGCATCTGGTAGATTTGCCATTTCTTCTATATAAGCCTTGGCGTGCCCAATGTGATTGGTTCGAAGTATCTCAACCGAATAGCCGGCTAAATGCAATATCGGTTCGCAATACTTCTTGAACTAGAAGAGATAACATAAACAAATAACAGGCAATAACAGTGAAATAATAGTCATTAATTACAGTTTTCTCCGATTTTTTTTTATTGGCGATAGGATTCATCACGACCAAAACATTCTTTGGTGCTCCTACATTTTCACTGGTAGAATATAGGTTGGTAGAAAATTCATTCATATATTGAGTAATTCTGAAATTAAGATGGTTATAAAAATACACAATTATTTAGGAAGTCAATATACATATACTTACTCAATATGTGTCTTAAGCGAGCTGAGTGCATACCCCGAAACAGCAGCAGCAAATGCAGACTTTTTCCAATTATTTCGAACAACCCTTAAAATGTTCATATTTAAACAAATCTACATAACATACACATGTATTAATTTTTTAAGTTATAAAGCAGTGATATATATGAGTCAAGATAGTGTTCAAAAGTTCATGTACACATGCAATTGTCTGCGAAAGCTCCCATAGAGCTTAAACTCTGGGAGTTGTCGGTTCGAATCTGTTATTTATTTTCTAATTAGTAAAGCGATGTCTCCGCTCTCAATTATATGCTTTTTATATTATTTATAAATCCACAGTATTCAAAAAATCACAACTATACTCATGTCTCTTTAATGTTTACGATTATTAGGAATAATTCCTTCAGTTTATTTCGGGTCGCCCTAATGCAATAAAAACCGAGTGGGAACACTGCGGATGAAAAGCAGCAAATTTCTTTAGCAGTCTCTGAAATGATTTAAAACACACTACGGAGTTCGTGTGCTATTTTTCTTGCCATTTTTATGCCTTTTTATGGTTCCACCTGAAAACTATCGTCTAATTATCGCATAGAAACGTGCGGAAGAGGAACGTCCCAGATGAATGAGAAACTGAGAAATTTTCGGAACGGCAAAACATTACGGACCATCCCAGAAATGGTTGGTCGCATGAATAGGCTACTCGATTTATTAGTGAGGGCGCGAAAGAATAATGTATTAAGTTAATGAAGATATAGTGTGTGATGGCACGTGTAAAATCTAACCACAACCGAGGATCTGTGTCGTTAAGACCGAAATTTGATTGTGAGTACGAAAAATATGGCGGACAATTAGAATAATGTTTAAAGTAGTCTATTTTCCGGACAGAGAATTTCCGGGAGAGTATTGCTTTTGTTCTTGAGGGGAATGGGTGTCTCCAACGTAAATTCGCCAGTGTCTTCGACTGGCGAGACGAGGCAAATTTATAGCCACTAAGTCCGTTTCATGTGTGTGTTTGTGTGGCTGACCACTTAGGACCGATCACGCGATCATTGCTGCGCTATACAAGGCCGTGCCACTCTCATTTTTGCGTAAGCCAGAGCCACTGAACGCTCCACACACATATAAACCCACACACATATATGTATTTGGTGCTGACCGGACTCGTCGACCACGTAAAACATACTTTAAATTCTGAAAACAGAGTCCACACTTAACTTTAAGCACCAGCACATTTCACGAACAAAAAACAAATCTGCAACCAGCTGATTGGCTGCACGAGCTTAACCCCCTTTAGGTGACGCGTGGGTCACACCAATCCACCGTATGGCTGGAAAATTTGTGTGAAATTTATCTGTCCCGGTGATCCTTACCAGGAGTGCTTGATAGCCTTGGTAGGGCTCCACATGAAATTAAGTCAGATAAATATCATATGCACGTAACCAACAGCGTACGAAGCGGTTTCACGCTTCTCTGATCGGATACGGTATGGGCATGCCGCTCCACCTTTACTCATGCTTCCCCCCTGGACTCGTGACCTGTCTCGTCTCCAGCATCAGGCGCTTTACCCTGCTGGAGTCGGGGTCGGGGTGCGTTTCTGGTGGAGTCGTCCGCATTCCTCATCCTCTCCCAGGATCGATGTTCCGTCTCAACTCTGGCAACAGAGGTTTAGCCCTGCTGGAGTTGTGGTCGGATTGCGTTTCTGGTAGGCCCCGCTCTCCTCACCGTTCCCTGGGACCCGCACTTTTCGCCATTCCTAATAACAGGGGACTTACCCTGCTGAGATCACAGTTGGGTTGCGTTACTGAGATCAGCTTACCAGAAGATCTTTTGCTCTTTTATTATTGGATTTTCGCTAGTTTTTCTCAATCCTTTTCCATAGCAGCAATCGAATTAGAAATATTTCTGACTGGAAGATGAACGCAATGAGTACCTTTCGTACTAGCGAACGGTACTTGATGGATCCATTTTAATGTTGAATTGTAGTTTGCGATTGCATTGACTGAACTTATTGCACAATCAAATTAAGCTTTTTTATTAGCTGTTGAGGTTTAATGAAAACTGCAGCAGGTTCGATATAAAAATATATTGCAATTTATTTGTAGACGAAAGCGAAAGTATGTATGTTGGTTGTCTGGCAATCGGCGAAAGACTACCCAATTACAAGCCCACCAAATTGTCCGTGCCATAATAAAAGTTAGAGAACGAAAAAAAGGATAGAAAGAGAGCGCTAGAGCAGCGCGGGCTGCAGCTAAGCCGAGAACGAACGACAGGAACGATGAAGCGGATAGAGAGGCTAAATTCTTTCCGGTAAACAATGTTTACCCACAGTGGGCAGTGAAAATAAAGTAACAATAAACGAATTGAAACGCAAAGAAACAATAAAGGAATTAAAACACAAACTTTACCTCTCGAAATAACATTAAAAAAAAATAAAAAAAATTTAAATTCTTCAGACAAAATCTGTCCATGAAAAATAAATTATATAGAGCCCCGAATATATCAGAATAATCGTTTTGATATTAGAAACAAGTTCAACATTTTTTTTGACTAGTGTTGTCTATCAAAAGAGATGGGAAATTTATCAAAAAATGAAGGTTTAATTCTCAATTTTATGATGGTACATAGTGGATTAGTGTTCTTCTTCATAATGTTCATAATGCTCTTCCTCATAAATTAACTCCTTCCATTGTTCCACAGTATGTTCTCTTTCATCAACGCTATGATCGTACGGCTCTGGAGCAGGCTGTAATGGAAAAAGAAACCAAAAATATTAACATTTTTTTTTGTTCCAAAATATTTTTTAGGAACATTCCACGTGCTCAAACCTATTGTAAGACTACATAAAGTTACTTAGCTTAGAAATGTACCACAACCCTGATATTGAACGGCAAAGCCAGGATTAAGAACTAGAGATATGTGATGATCTGAATAAAATACGTCTCTTTCAGTAATTCTTACTTAGCAATGCCAATGTCGTTATTTTTGCATCATCAACTCGATATAAAAATACCCCCCAGACCAACGAGATTTTTTTAAATGTTCTTTAAATATTTCTTAACCTATGTATATATGTAGGTCCTTATCTGTGTAGCTTCGCAACTTCACCCAAAAAACAGATAAAACAGCGCTGCCGTAGATATAAGATAAATAATAATAGATAATACATACGAGGGATCTTTTTAATTATTTCAAAATCCAATTAATCCAATTACAAATTAAATATTTAATGTTCTCGTGCAGACTAAATTTAGAAGGATTTTTCTTTTAAATGCAGTTTATTTCAGAAGTTTCGCGTTCAAAAGCTATAAATCTAGTACGCTGAATTTGCCGAGGGGCCAACTGTTGAACGAACCTGAGCGCACGTTGTATCGCCTTCTCGTTTCGTTGAATATATAAATTAATTTAGAGCCACTCCAGTATTGTTGAAATTTGACCATTGAACATTCTTTATCGATCGAAATGAAAACTTAGCATTTTAAATTGAGAAATATGCACCGGACCCAAGTTTAACTTTCACAAAGTATTGTGAATTCGTATCGTTGCACCATGCACCAAAGCAGACTAAAACTTTGAAGACTTTTATTTTAAATACAATTTATTTCATGAAATTATCTTTGTAAGTTGAGATATACGCTGCACGCCCGCAGTTTGCCGTTAAGAGGACCAGGGGCTAGTCGGTTGTGCACCGATTGTCAAAATCATGATACTTTCTGGAAGAGTATTTTTAATTCATAAATGTATCAAAGAAAAATTTGTTTTGAATATTTATTTTAATTTTATTTAAAGGGCTATTATATATTTAAATACAAGTTGGATATTCTTATAATTCCTATAATAATTTAACAGTACAAGAAGAATATTTGTTTAGCTGGAGGTAATGTGACTGCCTAACACATGATATCTTCCATCTCTACCGTGTTCTATTATTAGTGTTATGTGCCTCGTAGTCCATAACTTCTTCATAAATTAACTCCTTCCATTGTTCCACAGTATGTTCTCTTTCATCAACGCTATGATCATACGGCTCTGGAGCAGGCTGTAATAGAAAAAAACCACAAACATTAAGAAAAAATCTTTGTTCAACTGTGCGTATTCAAAATATTTGTAAAACTGCATTAGATTTTGGGAACATTCCACCTATTCAAACTTGTTGTACGACTATTTAAAGTTACTTAGTTTAGAAATTTACTGCTGGTATGACACGGTAGAGCCAGGCCAATATAATGATTAGAATAAAATAGTCTCTTGCAGTAATTCTTACGGAGCATTAAATGCTGAAAATCTCAGATGTTTCTAGGTGTCGGTCATGCGATTCCTACTAGATTCCTAGATTCCTAGAAATTATGTGCATTCTTAGGCACTCTGAACCTCAGTAGATTATGCATATGTAGCTTTGTGTAGAATGTGGCGGCATTTATCTTTCAAGTTTAAGTACGTACGTTAGTCATAGTTCAAGTATGTTTTCTGATAGCTTCGCCAATCTGTTTTTTTTACGCGTGTATCGTTTTTTGTTTATTTGTATTTCTTAGACTAATATATAAAAGTGTAGCTCTGTTGCGCGGAATATAATTTTTGCATGCAACAGATTTGCAAAATGTTTTAAATCGGAATTTATTATCGAAACTATCAAGAAAACTATGTACATAACTTTACAAAACTAGGCAACTTTCTCCGGATTGTCTGAAAATAGTTGGTCTTAGCTCAGGGTGGTTGAGAACAACACGTAGTATTCTAGAAAATACCGTTTCCCTGTGTAAGTAGCAACTAACTATCAGTTTCTCACTCCGCATCTACGAACGAAAAGTTCTTGAATTATGGAACAGACGACTTGAACATGCCAAAGATTGATATCATTATTTTATGTCAACAGGAATTAGAAATTTATTGTTGTTTTGGTTTATATGGATAAATAAATGAATTGAATAAATGTATAAACATAAAACTTAAAACATCAGAAATTATACAAATTTTTTCTAGCTTACTAAAATTTGCTCTTTTTGATTTGACAGTCAATTCACAACCTTTTGAGATTTGCGATAATTAGAGCATGGCTTGGACTCTCCATACTTTGGTCTTTCTGTTACATTGTTGATATTCGAATTTCCGTTAAATTTACTAAATATACAAGCGCACAAAGCAAGAAATTTTTTGTATAATTTCTTGCACCAACTCATGCTTAATTGAATATCTGACTTTGATGTATTGCAATAATTTCAATGCCGGATTAAAATCAAAGATTTTAATGCTTTTCTGTAGCCAGGATATATGAAAATGTATCATTTAAATTCGATTTTATTTGGTAGAGGCATCAATTTGTGGATGAGCTTCCGAAACACTGTGGGTTGATGGTCGCCATCCCGACTAACCACTATGGAGGTGATAGGTTGTCCTCGGCGACGATTTCGCGCTCTCCAACCTCGAATTAAAATGTACACAACAAAAATAGTAACATAATTGCAGCACGATGGGACAATTAAATTTTGTAAAATCAAAAAATATATGCGGCTTATAGAAAAATGATGACGAGAAAGCAGAGGACTTATTCCAAGCTGTGGATCTCTAGTTTCAAGTGATGCTTATATAAAGCTACCAAGCAATCTAGAGAACACGATAAAAGAGATTCAGATTCAGATTACTTTTCTAAGAGCTCAAAGCGACGCAGAAAATATAAGCACTTGAACAATTTTTAAAATCTCCGGCGCATTAGACAAGATTAATTTCATTCACTTTAAAACTTTTTTTTAGAGGTTGCGAATTTTGTTTGCATTAGCCAAGTATCTTAAACATGGATGTATTGGACTTTTTTATTCTAAAAAGCTAATAAATGCAGCTATTAATCGTACTCCAATACTTTGTAGCCAAAGCTTATCGCGTGGGAAATATTAAACCTGCAAATTCAATTTGAATCATTTTTTGCGGTATCCTTTTTTTAAATGTTGACTTTTAAAACTCGGGACAAGGTGAACAAAAAGTGATTTCTTGTGTTTTCATAATTTGCAGCCGTTTAACGCCCTTTCAATTCCGCATTTGACCGTTGAAGCTCGTTAAGTACCTTCCAAAATCACATTTTATCTTTGGGAACTGGCACAAATACATTATTTTTAATAAAAACCGTTGTATGTTTAGTAACTGACTTTAACTTTAGTAGGTTTGGTCGAACGGCTTGATCAACATAATTAAGTCCAAGAACAAAAATTTGTATATTAATCAGACAGGCTACAGGTTTCACTTACAACTGCGTTTTCGTTTTTAGCCAAACGGTTTGATTTCGTTTTTACGTGTTTCCGGTTTCACAAATGTTTGTTATCAATACATTTCTTTTGATCTTCATTGCTGGCAAATAAAATACAGCATTCCAAAATTACATGACTTTTCATGTGTTTTGAAGTAAGACGACAAAAGTGCGCGATTTAAGAAGATCAAGAAACTTTATATCAAAGACCTGTGTATTTAACATGTCTGACGAGCTGTAGGTAACAGCATGCATATGGGAAATTAAATTGCCAATGCTCACGAGATTGATTTGTTCCACTTACATTTTGAAGCAAATGTTTCCGTTTGGAAAACGGAAAAGTCTTGCGTTTTGTGAAAACGGGAACACCAATTTTTGTAAAAGTGAAAACCGGAGTCTGCCTGATTAAGACCAAGCAAAAAAGGAAAGAATGAGCTTAAATAAAGGAAAATACGGTTTTGTTAAATTTTTATTAATAACAATTTTTTTATTCAAATATATGCAAAAGGAGATGGTTTATTTCTGAGTGTCAGTCGGTATATTTTATTAATAAATCCGCGGAAAATCTGCTAATAGCTGTATGATATTAGACTTTGTGATATTTTCTGAAAGTAGAGAGATAGCATGATACACAAAAAGCAAAATTAGTGTGCGTAACCGTCTCAAAACACGTTTCCTGGCTATCAGTCGAATAACTGAGGCACTGTTTGTTACAAAATTATGTTTTCCAATACACACAGCCAGCCAACAAGAAAACTTGGTTCTGAAAATTGTAACAATCGATTATGTCTGCCACAACGCTGCTCCCAGGTCAACTGGAAAGCCACCTGGAAATATATGTTTGCATGCTTTTCCTATAAGGCAGTCTCTGTTTTTGCAGCTAGTCAGTTAGCAAAGTCTAATGCCATATTGCTTTAACAGAATCGAACAAATTCGATTAATCTTGCTCTCAATCACATAATGACACGAGCCGAGTTACTACTGACTTTCGACACTCTGGTGAAGACGCTCACGCAATAGGCCAGAGTACATAATTGAGCACACATGTTACGGGCTCCCGGCGTGCCTGGGAGCCGCCTCTACCTAACCAAACCTATGAAATTGCCTAGAAGTGGAAGTGGAGATTACTGATCAGAATTTCAAAGTTCAATACAAGCAAATGTAATATACTTAAATTCTGTGACAAAAGCTCTCCCTCTTATAAAACATTAAAAAAAAAACCAGAGGATAGAAAAAAAGCCATAATTCAAAAAATAATGTTCTTCAGTGAAGTATCATAATTTTGAATGAAGGAATATACAGAAATGTAAGAAGTAAAATAGTGCGGTGTCTCAGGAGTCTGGATAAACCATTTGGTTACTATAGCTCTTATAGTCTCTGAGATCTAGGCGCTCATCGGGACGGACAGACACACATGGCTGTTGATGCTGATCAAGTATGTATATACTTTATTGGGTCGGCTTCTTCTGGGTGTTACACACATCCACTTTTCCAACAAATCGAATATACCCCTATACTCTTTTTAGTATCGGGTAAAAATAGGATTACAAAATTTAAATGACTTAAAAATAGAAAAAAAAAATTTTTAGCTTTAAATGCTAGTAGACTAATATTTTACTTTGATATTCTGTTGTTATACCGCGATTATTAGTGACCGGCGAGTCTACGATCCATGTAACCCACCCGTTCGGCACAAATGGATGGGTCAATAGAATACTGTGCGGATTTAACTTTTTACCTCGAGTCTACGAAAAATAAAGCTCTCCTTGAAACTGACATGCCAGCTGAAAAATAGCACGAAATCCAGGTTAGAAGACAAAAGCAAAAAATTGAATGAATTTAAATTTCGCAATGAACGAAACTAGCAGAATATGTATGTATTAGAGGTGCCATTTGGGGCCTTCACATTCACATATACATTACTTCTTACTATTTATTCATCATTACTTCTAAAGAATTATGTTATAATTTCATGTAAAGCACAATATACAAATGAATACTATCGATAGTTCGAACTGAAAAGAGTATAAACGGAGTGCATAAATATATTGTACAATTTAAATAAATCATAAGAAACTGAGTTCTGGGTATTATTATTACTAGTCGTAGTATTATTATAGTATGTTGTTCGACCAATCGTTCAAATGACAATTATATAAATTGAGTTAGGTTAAAAAGACCATTATCTCTATGAGGCTCGCTCGCGGGCCAAAGCCCCTCCTCTCCTAACCATAGGGTTCTTAAACAAATGAGTAAACAATAATATTAATATTTACGTGTAGAAAACGAAATTTGTTTTAACCAAAATATTTCAAGGAGCTTTAAATCAAATGTTTTTTTATTTTGTTTTACAGTTTATATCTCTGGTGAGGGTAATCAAAATTTACGCTTAATTATAAAAATAGTAAAGAGTATTAAATTAATAAGTAAAGAGTAAGAAATGAATTAAGTATATTGTAGTAGAAAAACCTTTTATGTTCTCGATCGGACTAGGAGTATTTACTGGCCAGTGAAATATTCTTTAACAGAAAATTTGAAAATCCAAATTTCGGTAAAATCATAATTATATATTATAAAAAAGTTAATAAAGTATTACTTACCAATCTTGATGGTGGAATAGAGCATATTCGTATTCGAATATAAGACCGGCAGTATGAAAAGATGTTCTTCAATAGATGGTATGAAATTTTCGTCAAATATTTTTTTTTGTATTTACCCAATGCATTTTGTCGTACCGATTGTTTTAGGCAGTGATTTCAATAAGTGCTCTGAGTTTTACATCCTACCATATGAATGTTTTTCCAATCATCTATGATTAAAAATTCGTGGAGTTTAGCCAAGCCTTTTCGGGCGCAATTTAATTTTTTATTAATCGTTGTTGGCGACGATAGTAATACCTTTTGAAGATGATGTCTTGCACTTCGGAAGCTTATTTCAGTACCTTCGAACTGAATAAATTAGCTTTTCATATATGTCCATCCGTTTTAAAGCTATTTATTTCAAAACAGAATCCTCATTGTCCTGGTCTCCTCCATTCTTCCTAAGGCGGAATTTTATTTTATCGCACTTTTCATTACACTATTCTTTATTAGGTCTATTGTAGAAAACTTGCTATATCCAACTTTGGTGCGAATACATCGACAGGACAAATTTCACTGCAACGCCATTGATTACACTCTCACTTCACACGATTAAAAAAACGAGTCATTAATTCACAACTAAATTAAAAAGCTATTTATGTTTGTAACTATCAGCCGTGCTTCGGCTATCGAAAATCGTAAAAAGTTAAGAATTGACTGTCAAAACACACAATAGCGTCTTCCGGTTTTTGCAAATCCAAATATTGCATACAACACATAAATAACGATTGGGAACTTTTTGAGCCTGTCCGCGGCTCTACTGTTATACCCGGTACACAGTTAGTACGTACATATTTGAGCTTATTTTCGTAATTGATGTAATTTTTGTAATTTGAAATAACAAGCCGAGCGCATCACCGTCAGTAACTAGTGCGTCAGTACGCGTCACCGATGAATACCCAAAAGAAATCGATATATAATCGATTCCAATAGTTCCGTCAATAAGCCGGGAGTTCTTTTATAATCTCGCAGACTTTTTGGCATACCCATTCTATAATGAAAAAACGCTTTCGCAAGGGCTTCTAGAAAACCCGACAGTAATGGAATTTCCGACTTCCTGTTTCGTGAATGTGGTGTCGCTTTTGTTGAACCTCTCAAGTCATATCAAAAATTAGATGCTACGAATTTGATCTCCAATTAAACCCAATTGCCAAATTTAGCAATACTTCAAAAATTCGAATATTAACCAAAGTCAGCATGGCTCTATACCGGGTAGATCCACGAGCACTAATCAGATGGTTTTCAGTAATTTTTTCACTGTCCCTCATAGTCCAGCTTCATCAGTTTGAATCAGTCTTGCCCGCTAGTTGGGTCAGATCGTATCTTGATAGCCTAGAGTATATATGTATATAGTATTTGGAAAGCATTCGGACCCATACTTGGCTACTTCCGGCCCTCCTTAGGGAGTGTACTAGTGTACTTGGTCCACTTCTGTTCGCGATACTTATTAATGACATGTCTATGTCTCGGCATTCAAGCATCTGAATATCAGCTTTTTACTGATGATCGTAAAATCTTCAGATCCATCAAAACCTTAAGCGACTATATCCATCCTCAACGTGATCTGGATGATCACATCCCTTTTAACATTAACAAATAACTCTTTGTCTTTGAAAACAGTATTTTTTCATGTGCTTCTTACCTTGATGGTAACGGATGATGTTAGCACTGTATTCGCGGGTACATTCCTGTAACTTTATTACGCAAATGAATTCATACAAACACTGTCCGAAAACTATTAAAATGTCTAAAACGGAACTAGTATCTCTTACTAGTAGTATTACTAGTACTTTACTACAAGACCCTGGCACTCCTTCTCCCAAAACTCAACGGGGAAATGTCTCAATAAACTCAATCGAGAAGCAGAGTTCTGTGTTGCTGATGGTCTTTGCACCACTCCTGCACCACTCCCATGAGAGAACCCCTTAGAATGAGAACACCAAGAAGTGGAAACGATACGCCTTTGAACACTCTAGAATTCTGATGAAACTCAAATATATCGACAAATATAACTCGCATCGTCCACATTTCTACTGATGACTCAAAGAAGGACGGCCGCGGGAGTCTTTTCTGAAAAGATAAACATCAGTCACTGTTTTAGACTCCCTTTTAGCAATGAGAGAGGCCACCTCGACAGAATACTGGCTAATAGTAACAAATGAAAACGGGCTGGGTTATCCCTAAAATGATTTCTGCCAAAGCTGCATGAGATGCGGCGGAAGAGGACACCACACAACACCTTTTCTGCCTTTTCAGATGTAAGCTTTCTTAGTTCTGTATTACTTGAGTATGCTACACCTAGTTTTAAGGAAGTTTCCAATTTACCCGTTGGCCCGGTACCCGTTTGTACCACAATTTGTATTAATTTTATCCGTAACAATGCCTAATAATGCATATGTACCTCTCTAAAATATAAAACAACAAGAAACTAGACTATGTTGCATATTTGCAACTGCTTTTTGCATTGAGTAATGGGGGTATTATTTTTGTGTAGATAATTTTTTGTAGTTCCACTGCGTTATTTGTGAAAATTGTATATGGGTGTCTACTCACAGCGTCTACTTCCTCAGCATCGTACCAGACATTTATATATTCATGTTTCAATGCCTTGTCTACAGATATCCGCTGTTCTGGGTCAATTACAAGCATTTTACTAAGGAGATCTCTGGCGTCTGCAGCTTTCCTTCGACTGTTCTGATTATTATCATTTGGAAATAATGCATCGGGAAAGAGTCTATCAAATGAATATCCAGTGTACCGAGGACGATTTTCCACATAATTTCGTACAGTTGGTTGTAACCGTTGCATAAATGATGGAGATGGTGTGCCTAATTGCTCTAAAATGACAAAGAACATTTTAATTGTCAATAACTGGAAGACAATTTTGTGCATGACCAAAATTTACCAATAATTTTATTCCACTGATCTATATGATCTGTTCCAGGAAAGAGTACCCCACCTCGTATCATTTCACCCATAATGCACCCGACGGACCATATATCAACGTTCTCAGTATAGCCCATTCCCAAAATGACTTCTGGTGCCCTGTAGTAGCGTGTTACAACATACGGAGTCATCATGAAGGTAGTTCCTGCAGTGCGTGCAAGTCCAAAGTCTAAAATTTTTAGAGTACAGTCGGCCTTCACCACTATATTGGATGGTTTTAAGTCCTGTGGAACATATGAGTTTAAAAAATAAATATTCATTTAATATACATTGGAAATGTGTAACAGGTTCCCTAATTTAAAATAAAAGTGGAGTCTCCAAAAAAAAAAAAATATATATATATATAGTTCTGAAATTGTTATTAAATTAGAGGAAATAAAACCCGAGTTTTCTGTGGACTTGGGGGAAAGAAAAACCCTATGTACCATGGCATAAAAAAAACAATAATTCATTTAAGTAATAAATAAAATGGAGTAAAGTGGAGCCACAAATCTGTCAGGTAAAGGAGGTTTTCTTAGCTGCTGACTAGAACTTCTTTAAAAAATTATATTTTCGTCCGTTTTCTCAGAAAGATCAATACTTATGTTTATATTTATCCTCGTCTTATCTTTATACTCTCTAAATTAAACATATATATATATATTTATATACTTTACTCTATGTATAATTCCAGCTGAATGCAAATGTTTTATTCCGCACAACATTTGATATAGCAAATATGACATTCTGTCATGATCCAAGTCCATTTGAATGACTTGGCAGAGATTAGCGTCCATTAGCTCCATGACAAGGTAAACGTCTTGAAAATCCTCTAAATTTCGTTGCGGAGTAAAAGCATTAAGCAAGCCAATAATCTAATGGGAAAATTATTTTTTACAGAATTTTAGGGAAATTTCTGAAGTTGTTGTATTTACGTTTTTATGGTTTACAAGCTTCATTAGCTTGAATTCTCTATATGCTCTCTTGGCATGGGTTACATTTTGGAATGGTCGCGATAACTTCTTGATGGCCACGTTTTGCTCAGTGACAGTGTCGTAAGCAGCACTAGAAAAAATATTAATTTGTATTACACATCAAGCAATATATTTTTAAGATTACTAAAAAGACAATATAAACCAAATCTCGACACTCTGAAGTTTAGAGCCCAAAATATTCATCGACCAGCCTTATGTTTACTCTCCTGTAATGCAGTAGTTCGTTTTTGTAGAGACGATATTGCTATTATTTAATATGGATGAGTGAACTATGTGCTGTGGCATCCATTGGTCTTTCAGACGTTAGAGCTCCTAGAGCTGCCATTTCTGCCAGCTACTTTCATGATGGGTCAAGGCTAAAAACTAGAGACTATTTTCAGGCAACTACATAGCACCAGCTATGTATTTATCAAATGAAGGACAGTTGCTCAAGACGCTGCAAAAGCTGCAGGTCTACACAGCAAGAATGATGAGAAACGCCTGATGTCGACTAATCAGAGGCCCTCATCATCTTCAGGCTGTCAAGGTCAACCCAAACCAACTCACATGTCTGTTCCGGCCATCAGCTATTAAATCATCCTAATAATCTTAAAAGATTACATCTATTTGTCTCGATTTGTATGAGACCAATTAGCAACCAGAACAATGTAAATGCTGTCGTCCGGCAGCGCTACTGCGCTCTCCCTGCTAATCTCTGTCTTCATTTGTTGCCTATCGACATAAATAGTTAAAAAAAAAGCTTGGAAACTCAATAATTGGATACGTTGAGGTATCTCGAACTTTCCTGGGTAAACTGGAGTGACCAGACACAAGACCTCAAAATATACAACGACGCCTCCAAAATGAAAGGAGGTGTAGGAGAGGGAGAGTACTGTGCAGACCTCAGATAAAGCTGTCAACTAGACCACGGAAGTGGAAGTCGCAGTTAGGAAAGCAGCACAGGTAGAACGACTCAAGACGTGGTCAATATTGTGGCAAGCTGGGAAACTCTAGACATCTTTAGCACGTATAAGTAGGTACGGATCTATTCGCAGCCACCAAGACATCAAAGGAAACAGGATGCAGAACATCGAAGTCAATATGTAAGAAGTTCAGTAGAAAAAAAAGTTATTATTAGACGTTTCATAGAAAAACTCCATACTGTGGGGTGGGAGTGAGAGCACACACGGACCATTGTCTGGCTCCAGGGCACGCAGTCAAACTATGCATCACCAAGCACAGAAGATACAGAAACCCTGGAACATCTTATCGACATCTACTCGGCTCCCTCGCGAGCAATAAAATGATCCGTTTTTACCTCCTTATTATTGTACTTCGCTAATCCACATTCTACCTTATGGATCTTTTGACCTGTCCTGACAGACCGACGGACAGGAAGACATAGCTATATCGATTCGGCGATTGATGCTGATAAAGAATATATGTAATATATGGGTTCGGAAACACGATAAAACTTATATATCTTTAAACTCTTTGAGTTCCAGCTATAACAAAATTTCTTTTAATTGAATTGTCTTCAAAATATTGTAATATTATTGTAATTATTATCATGAATGCAAAGATGGATCTGCAAAGGTATTCAAATCTTGCCTGTTTCAATTTATTCAAATCAACTTACCATACTATTCCTTGGGCACCAGATCCTATGGGCCTTAGGTTAATGTAGCGACTATGGATAGTAAAATTGGTATCCCCTACTTCTACGGTATAGTGTTGGTGTTGAGCTGCCATTTTAATTTGCATATATCTATGTGACTCCTTTCAATATTAATTGGTGAACAGATCAGCCTAAAAAAAGAACTGGCGTTAATGATATGATTATATTTGCATACAAGTTTTTGGGATAAATCAATCATGTTACAGTTAAATACAAAAAAAAATAAAATAAGGAAAAGCAGCTATGAATCGGCCCCAAACATAAACGTCCAGATATACAGGTCATATCTATTAGCCATGCTCCGGTTTCCGATTTCAGAAAAATTCGTGCGAATTGAAATTTGTGGGCTCTGGTTTTCGCAATGTTCTGCTATAGAAAGTGTTTAATTCCAAAATTGTGTTGTGAAATTTAACTTGATAAAAATCAGTTTTTCTTTCAGAAAATTTAAATATATTCATTAAATATGCCATCGTTTTAGTAATCACATTATGTACAAAAGACAACGATAAATTCGTGAATTAAGTAACAGACGACATATATATGTGTATGTAACCGATGCCAACGATTGATATTGATTTATCTGTCAATTTGTTGTTTTAGTTACTTGGGTGAATTGCGGTGTACACGAAAATAAATTTACAGTTACTTAAATACTAACTTAAAATAACAGCAAATATTTTTATATTAACCAGCCCAGTAACATTATTACAATCCGATGTAATCCAGATTCGGCAATCTGCTAGATATGGTCATTCTCCATGAGTCGGCTATTGATTCTGATCAATAATATATACTTTATGGGGTCGGAAAATCTTACTTCTGGGAGTTACACACATCAACTTTCCGGACAAATCTGATATACCCCTATACTCTTTGAGGACCGGTTATCAAAGATGTTGGTTGAGCGTTATTTGGGAGTTATGCTCATGAGTCAAGACTGACATGACTCAAATAGTGGCTTTTCGACAAAGTCTACACACTAATTCTGTATTGCAGCCTATGTTAGCATTAGAGTGCGACTATAGGGCCATATGTAAATTATAAACAATTTTTGCGATTGAGGGTGTTTGAACCCTAAAGGCTCCAGAGAACATCATACTTCAAGAAGGGGGTTGACAGAGAGCAACCCTCGTCGTGGTACACATACATACATAGTGCAAATGTAAAAAGCTTTTCCCCAAAATAATATGCAATTTTGTGGAGTCGAGGTTTTAAAAAAAATTTATTTAGGTCAATTTTTGCATTATGGGAATCTGCTAATACACTCAGACAGAACTCTGCCTATTTTGTAACTTCTCAAGCAGTTTTGACGTCACAACTGCATTAAAATGTTATTGTTTGAATTGGATACAAACATATTCGCCGAGTACAACAAATGTACATGTGTAAATAAGAAAAAAGAACTGATTTCTCACAAACATATTTTTTCTATGCATTCGCTTTTATTTTGAGCTTTATGGATTGAACTAACATTTTAAATAAACGTATATATGTACATGCATACATACATATGTACGTATACATGTATTTCTTCAAACAAAAAATCGATGAAATGTCTTTTGAACACATCTGTTTAATACAGAAGGGTGATGTTGCAAGTATGTATACCTTGTCTTGAAGAAAATCAGGGGAACCTCTCTTGAATTATTATATTCTAATATAACGTTTTGGATACACATCCCTATGTACATAGATACATACAAGAAATAAATAAATACGCTCACATTTGTAGATAATCAAATAGACACACTTTATCTCAATAGTAAATACAATAATAACTTACCAGCACAAATTTTTTTTAATATTTGTAGGATAACACTTAACTCACACATTTAAAAACATATAACATTTAAACACTAAAACTTTAAATCTTAAGGAAATTATAAATCGATTTTATTTTATGATGTAATATATATATACACCGGCGCTCCTCTTTTTAATACTACCGTTAAATTATGTGTTGATAAAATTATATCAAACCGAAAACTTGCATTTGTGTAAGTACATCTCAAAATATATGGATGTAGCTTTTTTTTTTGTAAAGTTTCGTTCCAATGTTTTTATGAACGGTGTGACCAGATTTGTATCCAAATAACTGGAACACTTCATTCCACATTCCTATGCTCAGCTCATGATATATTTTTAGTTTTTTTTTTAAGTCTCATCCGTAGATAAGTTATAAGCTCTTGATTCTCTTATTCTCCATCGACGGAACAATCAATTCAGTTATTCACTTGACTAATGCCTGCTATTAGCCGATCAAACCTTAGATGACATATAGGTCATGCAATAAGTAGTCAGTAATTGCTCAGGATATACTTGAAGTTCAAAAGAAGTTCTTAAGATAGTTCAAAAAGTAAAGTCATTTAGTACAATCGTATATGTATGGCTTTATTATAGCCAATAAAATCGCCATGTTTTTATTTCAACTTGTGAAATTTCACAATTTCAGACCAAAACTTTTTTATGCTCATCAGCTGTTTTTGTTGATGGAGAGTGGATGGTGCCAATAGGAATCGGAGTTTCACATTTGCCGAAAAATCCCATCGTTTCCCAGAGATAAGCTGAGCAGAAATAGGCTATTAATTAATTTCATAGACCTCAAACTTTGACTTCTTCTCTAAACGATATATCATGAATGACCATCCATCTATCGCACATTTCTAAAACCATCGATAGAATCGATTCTATCGATGGTCTCGCATCCCTAGTATGAGGGTTTTAAAACATAACACACATATATCTCACTCAAAATGGACCCTTTAATTGTTCATGCAACTGATAAAAGTAATGCGACTGATAAAAGTAATGCAGCTGATAAAAGTAATGCCAATTTAAGACGCGATCTTCGCAGAAAAAAAATATTGGATGATGCTAAAATACGTCTTGAAAAATTGAATGGCAGAGCTGCTTCACGTGAAACGGATCTTTTCGGTAATTGTTTATACATAGTTCATGACCATAAATATATATGCGACCCATAATACAAAGTGACTTCCACCTGCTCCAGACAGATATCGTCATATTATTTTTGTTGCAGGGTTTTATAATTATACATATTTTACATATTACGTGCCCGGTACTCCATGAGTGTTGGGTATTCTAGATTTTTGTAAATGTACAAATGTAACATCCAGAAGACAGCGCTTTCGACATAAATTCATCTTCAGCATCTCGAGATTACTATCCAAACACGCTGTCTGAGGCTGGAAAGGTGCTCGTGGGCCGGCACGAAAATTTGTTTTATTCAAATATCGAACATAAGTCAGCACAACCTGCTAGAGTTTTTTCAATAACAAAAAAAAAAAAAACTTCATATGACAGTCGGCTCCCAAATCGCAACGATGAAAAGGAGCACCAAGTCCCCGCCTCTTCATGCATAAAAAGATTCAATCGCTGAAGACGGGCCCATCCTGTTGCTTTTACGAACCGTTTTAATATCTTCCTGATACTCACTTTTTTTATTACATTTTTTTTTGAAAAGTTTCGTATTCTACTGATGACGGAAGTACTTCCACGATTCCTCGACGTCACAACCTCTTCAAACTAGGTCTGCTGGATCTGTTTTGTTGGCACATGCCGCCACGTAGCGTCACCTGACCACTCTTGAATCTCCGCTCTCGTGCTCTCGGGTGCGGTTACCTCATGATATATTTTATACAATGTATTTTATATGTCGTTTGTTATCACTGTTCGCAAAAGGGACGGACCTGGCTGTTTGCCAAACAAAAATTTCATTAAAATCGATCGCATCGTTTGGGAGATATTTTTATATTCGATTTTAGTTTTTCTTTCCTTTTTTACATTCGTCTCGTTTTGTTATATACCAACATCAGCCGTTTTATCCCGTCGGAGGGCGCACACATTGCACGAAGAAAAGTGTGTGTGAAAGAGGCAGAGAATGAGTAAGCGCGTGAAAGGCGTTGTGCAGCCACTGAAATTTCATTTGCTCTTTTTAGCTATAATATTGATCCGACCTGATTCAGATTCTGCAGTCTGGTAGATATGGTCTTCTGCGATTTTCGCATGTCTTCAAAATTGTGGTTGCCGCAGATTTTTGTACTTTGTAGGGACGGAAAAATATAACAAACAAACTCTAGAGCTTTAGCTCTAGCTTTAATAGTCTCTGAGATCTAGGCGCTCATCGCGACGGACAGACAGCTATGTCTATATCGACTCGGCCATTGATGCTAATCAAGAATATATATACTTTATGGGATTGGAAACGGTTGCTTCTGGGCGTTGCACGCATCCATTTTCCCATCAAATCTATACTCTTTTTGAGTATCGGGTATAACCAAAGTGCCAACAACGGGTAATTCGTCATATCATGCGCGAGAGGCGGGGGATGGGGCAGGGACGCAAATAATAATGTTCATTTCGACTTTTTCTTTCAGACGATGGAACACCAACTGTACTATATTCCGATCCAGAGGTTGAACCAAGTATCCCAAGTGGACGTATTTTTTTACCGGATGCTAAATCTTCAAAAACCGGCAAAACAAATTTGATAATAAAAAGAAAAGGTCATATTTTTTTAGCATCTTGCTTGGGATACTTATTAGCTTTTTACACAGAAGGCAGTTTTTTTTTGCCGTTCATTTTTTGTACATCTTTGGAATTAGTGTTTGGCAAATATCTAAATCGAAATAACATGTCACATAACATGTCGTTTTTTCTGTTGTCTTTGGGTACAAACTTTAGCACCAAAATTCAGCAGTTCAGCCATGTTTTAACAATTCTTCAATCTATCTTAGCTAATCTTGCAGTAACTGTTTGTATTTTATGTACGGTCAGTTTTTTGTTATTTCCATTTATGGAAAATATTATTTTTTTAAATAAAGTAAAATGAACTACCAATTTGTTATTGTTACTTGGCACCGTTGCACGGGGGGTGAAATAGCCAATATAGCATATAAAAACTAATATCGTCGAGTGTAAAAAAGATATCGTCTACCTGGTTTTTCCTATATTTTTATTTTATTTATTTATTTATACCCTATACTGAAAGAGTATAGGGGTTTATTCGATATGGGGTGGAAATAATCAGCGATCTTGATCAGAATTAATTAATACCTGATATAGTCATGTCTGTCTGTCCTTCATAAGCGCCTAGAAATCAGAGCTAGAGAATCCATATTTTGTATCCGGTCTCCTGTGATATCATACTGATTCAAATTTGTTTCAAAATTTCGCCACGCCACAATTTGAAAATAAGATTATTAGTATAGCCAGAAGGAACAAGTGAAAAGGTAGTAGCTACGATAGCGTAGTCACGCACGTTTCTTACCCTCTCCTCGACACACTCTTTGTCGTGCAGCGTTCGCCCTCTGGCTGAGGGGAGCCATACTGACTGAGGATCGGGTATAAACATAGAGTTGCAGACCGCAACGTTCCCGCTTGTTTTTTATATAATAATAATTATAAATCTATTAATTATATAACATATTCAGGTACGCTCCGGTTTTCACTTTCACAAAAATGTTCCGATAATACGCAACAATTTTAGATTCCGTTTTCACAAAACGCAAGATTTTTGCCATTTTCAAAACGGAAACATTTTCCTCGCCGTAATTAAAAGTAAACGTCTTTTTATATAACAAAACGAATCTTAATCGCAAAAGGAAAAAAAATAATTGGTCAGGACAACAACAATTATCGTTTTCGTGCTAACAGCTTACCCAGCTCGATTTGGTTAGCAAAACGTTGGCAAGAAATAAATGCCTGTTCTCGTAAGTTACGAGGCTCCCACAGGCTATCACCCTGGATGTTTCTAATCCGCAAGTTTCAAAACTATAAATAGTCGATAGTTATCAAACGCAAATCCCCAAATATTTGACATTTACGGAGAAGTATCGTAATTCACTGCGATTCATAAGAAAAAGTATTATGAATAAGTTTACGAAATATATTGTTTTTTTTTTTGATATTTTTATTTCACAAAAATATTAATACACATTGAGCCAAAGAAGATAACAACAGGCGGCAGGATGAAGTGGTTTGCCAAAATGCAGAGCTTGCTCGTAGACTCGCAAAAATTCCTATGTATGTATGGAAATGGTCCAGTCCATGAAGGTCCATGGATGTCATCTTTTTGAGAAGCTAAACTGATTCCTGGGATCTTTCCGCATCCATAACATAGAGCAGAACATATATACTTACAATTTCACTTGGATTACAACTATTATTTTCAACCGTCAAAAACCCTTCTATTCAGTTTTGTGTTAAATAAATTTATCATCTCAAAAAACTATTCCTCGTCGAATTCATTTAGGTTTGTTTGCTTTGTGTTCAACGCCAACAACAGTTTTAGCAACAATATGTTTTGTTGTTGAATCATAGTTAAAACAATCGGTTATTAATACATATTAACTTGCTAAGTTACAATGGCACAATTTTATCTCAGCTGTTTTTGTATGGATGGTGGACCAAAAATTCCCACCGTTCCCGCTAGATGTGCTCTGTGAGAAATGGTTATTATGCGAATATGTCACCGAGTATTCAATAAAAAATGTATATGCTTTTTATTATTTTTCTTTAATGTAGTATAGTCAAGTTTAGTTTTGATCGGGATTAAGTTCAGATGCCCAAACATCCTGTGGCCAACCTGTTCGTCCATTAGTGGGTACTCGAACATTCTGTAAATAAAACAAAAATTAATTTTTTTATTTCTGTGTTTATTTTCTTTATTCTCTTAAATACGTATGATTTTGACAAATACATATGATTTTTAACTGTAGTAAATAATGTGAATATTTGCCTTTATATAATTGTTATATTGCAGCAGAACCTTTTGACAACAGACCATTTTTATTTTATATTTTTACTGTCATCATAGAATAATGAAAACAACAAAAGGTATTTAACAATAAAATTTGTCCATCACGTGCCGTTCGTTTGTTAGTTCCGTTGCCTGAATTTTAACTAGTGTTATCGCCTATATCAGGTCATGCATAATTTATACACCGACTATAGAGATTGCACATGGCTTTTGGCTTGCGGTTCTCGGTCCTTCCCGTCTTTTAAGCGACGTACTCTTTGCAGTCATCTTCTCGCTAGAAGCGTTCCTTAACCTGGCTGCTGCTATGGAAATGGACATTCTAGCTACATTCTAATGGCCAGGGAGCAAAAAGTACGCTGAAGGCGTCGATTATGCCGGAAAATTTCCTCTTCTAAATTTTCTGCAGGAAATACTACCGCTGGATTTGCGGCCTCATAACATTCATATCGCCGTAGACTTGCAGCAGGGACCGTGCCGTTACAATTTCCATCGATAAGCGGAGATTATGCGAAGGAACAGCTTTTTACTCTGTTTGTCAAGGTGGAGAATTTTAATTTATCTTATGCCAGGGAGATAGCTTCTTTAAGATAAGCATCTATATTAATGTATCAAAATCGAAAAAAAAAAGATTCACTTGTTTCAGTGGGTACTGCAGACAAAATTTGGTTGCTATTGCTCCCCTATTCTATAATATCTAGGCAGTCATCAAGACGAACAGACAGACATGGCGATATCAACTTGTCTGTTGATGCAAATCCAGAATATATATGTATATATATGGGGATACTCAAATTCAATTTTGAGACCCCTGTAGTCTTTTAATACTGGATATAATCATTGTTATAAATTAGTCTTACTTGAAAATCACTCTTCAGACACTTATTCTGATCGCTACATATTGTGCGATGTGCCGGATTAAGCTCTGCCAGAAATACGCCTTTTTCCTCCTGATTTCCATCCAGAACATCCTCTAAGTAGTTTATGTACAAAATTGCCAATTTTAATGTTTTAATCTGTTAAAATATAATTTAATTGTAATTTAATAAGTGTCGTACATTCGATATAAAGTTTGATTTTAAATTATATTAAAAAATAATGGTTTATTTAAGTGCACTATATTTAATTCCATACTTTATTTTATGTACTTTAAATTTGGATTGGACGGAATTGTAGACTATGGCTACAAAAAGTAACCATAGGTTCGTACAAGTCCGACGCAAAGGGCAGGCAACCGGAAGTAGAGCTAGACCTAGAGCCCCCGGAGACCTTAAATGGGGAGGTTGAATCTGCGGCGTCGGCCGTAGCGTCTGTGGTGTCGGACGACAACCTGGACGACTACGTGCCCGATAGGAGGGAACTAGCTAGGGTCTCAACCTTATCGGTGTCGGTAAGAAGTTGGACCGGTCCAGATAAAACAATGGTGGAGGTGAACCTCGGGAATATCATTGACACTCCTGCAGATAAACCTCCGCAATTGTTAGACAGTATGTGCTGCTCTCCTGGTCCACCTACCCAAAGGTGGAGCCGAGGACTAGTCATTTAGGAGACCTGGATTCTTGGAAACAGGGTCTCCGGTCTGAAGACTCAAGACTATAGGCCATACGTACTTGCTACCTGCTTTCTTGCAAAAATACTTGCACCTATTACTACTCCCAAATTTCAGAAATTAAGACAAACCTGCAGTGAGGCTCGAAGGTAAGAAGAGCTCGGGTCATAGCCAACCCGGACCTCCTCCACAATTGCGCCAAGGCCAGTCTGTCAATTAACAACAAAGAACTTAGGAAAGCCCAACGCGCCTCATGGCGTAAGTTCTCCAGCGAAATTGAGAGAAATTCAGAAGCTTCGTACCAGAGTAGAGTTCTCTCGAAGACAACATCCACCCTGGGCTATCTGAAGAAAGTCTTGGACAATATCCAGAATCGAGTCGCTAAACTTTCTCCTCAGCACACTTCTCTGGCTGCGATGAAAACAGACCTAATTACATTGAGCCGCCTTCTGTTGCCTCAAGAACAAAAAAAGCTTCAAGCCCCACAAGACAGCTGAAACAGATGGCATCATCCCTGCCCAACTGATCCACTCTAGACAACAATTTATTAACTGTCTTGAAACGATCTACGAGGTAGTCTTCTCACACGGACAGTCCGACACCTGGCTTCACAACAAAGTTGTTCTCATAACGAAGGCAGGTAAGCCCTCGTGCACTGCCCCAAAGTCTTCTGACTCATAAGTCTCTCATCCTTCATTCTGAAAATTATGGAATGGCTTTTAGGTCTGCATCCCATACCAAGTATTCTGCCACGACTTATCTCAGAATTTCACCATGCCTATCGGAAGAGATGATCCACCGAGACGGCTTCACACGATCACGTCGATCAGTAGGACCGAGTAGGACTGGTAGTATTCCTAGCCAAAAAAGGCACCTTTAACAATATCCTCCCGACCGCCATCACAGTTACACTGACGGACTTGGGGGTTGATTCCCGGACGGTGAGCCTAAACGATCCAGACTGTGGAAAACATCCCCGCTTGGACACTCGAGACTTACCAGCGAGGACAGATTACTGTATGATCACCCTAGTGATCACCTTTCGACGGCTTTCCAGGTATCATTTTCACTTTGGGAGAACTGGGAGACGAGCGAAGCAGGACCGGCAAATGTGGTTCATATTTACACTGAATGGTCGCGTGGGAGGAGTCTACTGTAACGAGCTTAACATCAGTTACTGCTCCAGGCGCGCAGATCGTTGTAGACTGTTCCCAGCGGATGCCTCCCAACGTCCGATAGTCGAGCACTTAGTGTGCGTCTTCTCGCGCAGTCAAACTCAACGACTTTAAATGACTGTCGTTGGTCTCTCAACGAGATCGTAAAGCAGTTAGATCTCTTCTTTATATAGGTCCCCTGACACAGGGATATCGAAGGGAATGATGCCGCCGACAAACTAGCCAGGTAGGACACGACGACTTCGAGCAAAACAGGTGATGGCGGAGAACCATCACCTGCAAAATATCGTGATCGATATGGCCATGTCGATGGAAGAAATGGTCGGCAGAGCTGTATAGACTCACCACTAATTAAATAGCTGCAAAAACATGCACAGTCTTATGGAAAAAGCATGCAGTGAGAGCGAGAGATATATATGGGTCCAGTTGGCTTTCCAGTTAAGCTGGATTAGCAAAATTTCCAAAACCAATTTTGCTGACTTGGTGGGTATGTGTGATCTGTTTTATTCGAATTTTCGAATATTTTATAACTTACAATATTTTTGCTAATGGTTCTTACTCTGCTAAATCTGGCTCTCCAGCCATTATATCGTGGTCCATTTCGCCACTTCACACTGAACGAGGAAGTGTGTGAGGGAGAGATAGAGTAAGCGGATGGCAGGGTGTTGCGTAGCCTCTGCAAATTGATATTTTCATTATGAATATAATAATATTCCGATCTGATCCAAATTCGTCTGATAGATCTGATATGGTCATTCTCTATAGCTCTTCGTTTTTCTCGTATCTTCAAAATTCTAAGAATATATATACTGTATGGGGTCACCGACGTTTTCCACTAGATTTTACAAATGATCGTACGAACTGAAATTTTGTGTGCTCCACAACTTTTATCGATTTTAAATGGCTTTCATTTTGTGTATCGCATTATATGAAGAAGTTGAAAAGAAGTTGTCTTTTCTTAATAGCGAGCTCATTAGAAACCTGTTTTAAATCGTAGGAATTTTACGATTTGCGAAATCCGGAGCACACAAATTGCAATTCGTGCTTAGTTGCTTAGTCAATTGGTTTTATTCTGTTCGTAATTTTCTGCGATTTCTAATAATTTGTGCGAATACCTGAATATGCAAAATTGTTTTCAGTTGATAGCAGTAAATGGAATAATAATAAAAATAAAAACAAGATACAAAAATAGGGTAGCAAAACCATCGAAGGTTTGGATACCCGATGGTTCTAAAAAGCATAATTTCTTCATTCTGGCTGATTTGAAAGAAAAAGAGACATAGTCAGACTGACATGGAGAATTGAGATTTTCATGCAGAAAAAATAATACGAAAACGAAGTTTTGAAAATAGAAGTTTTGATGTTTAATCTCCGCCCAAACCCTTCGAATAATAAAAATAACAAAAAACATATATACAAAAATTTTTAGTACTTGCTGTTTTTTTTTATTTACCTTTGATAATTTCGTATCTGATGGAACATTTGGAATTTTTTCACGAAGGTATGAAAAAGCATTGTTTATACTTTGTGTTCGTCTTCGCTCTTTTTTATTCGCTGTATTTCGTTTTTTTATGGTCCGAACATTTGGAGTTGCCATTAGACCATAGGGATTTAATGGGATATATCGTTGCTCCTGAACATTGTTTTTAGAGCCTGAAAACATATTTATATATATAATGTATAAATTTTTTTTATCTATAAAATTAAATACTAAAAAACATTAAACATTTTTAATAAGAAAATTAAGTCATGTCCAAATTGATGGTCGTGGCTGTACTCTACTTCCTTCATTTTAGTTTTCTAGTATCTTCCATAGTATCTTGCTCTACCTCTTATAGTCTCTAGGATCTAGATCTCTAGGATCATCGACTCGGCTATTGATGCTGATCTAGGATATATACACTTTATGGGGTGGGAAACCATTCCTTCTTGTCGTTCCACACATTCACTTTCCGCTAAAATCTGATATACCCCTAAACTCATTTTGAGCATCGGGTATAAAAAATTGGTTGGTTCGAAGCATCAAAATGCTGTTGCCTATTTTAAGCGGACCGATTTGAAGATGGGGATATTTCGCTGATATTGACAGAGCTCGAGTGCAGACTCGAAACGCTGACACGAAACGTTGACAGGGCAAGTCAATTTCAGGACGACATTAAAGAAATAGATGGTATTTTGTAAAATTTATATTTATATTTGTAATATTTAGATTACATTAACATTTACATTGTATTTTCTGCATAGCTAAAGGGTGAAGGACGGTTAAAGAGGGCTTATGGGGAAGTGCAGTTGAGGGATTCAGCCATAGCGATGTTGTAGCTCCAGCGTAGGCGGCCGCTGTTAGGTTGATGGTAAAAGGGGTTTTTGTCTGTCTAGGCGCTCCATATAGGCTTTGGTTAGCCTGGAAATCTCTTGATGAACCCAAGGGACTCCGAGTTCTTCGTGGATTACATTGTTGGAATGGAACACATGTGCGTTGAAGATCGTTATAAACCGTCTTTTTTGAAATTTTTGGAATCCCATAGGTCCACAAGGGTTTCATTATGGTCTTAGAGATAAGTATCTTGATGCGCAGCCGCAGAGTAGATCTTTTTCCGACTTCTGTCAAGCACCAGTCCTAATTGTTTGGCTGTGTCGCTGCTAGGAATGATAGCTTCATGGAGTTGGACTTGGGGGGCCTGGACGGTTGGGTGGACTTCTCGGAGCTGACCATCATATTCCACATTTTTAGCCAGGTGTTTATGGTGTCAAGCTACATTTGGAGGATGTTACAGGCAGTCTGAGACGAGTTATCATATTTGGCAGCCAATAGTCAAGCATCCGATATGACTGATATGTCAGCAGTGTAGAGGGTATATAGGAAGGAACTCCGGCTCTGTCAGCTCTTATGCTAGATCTTTCGTCTCCGCACTTCACATAGAAGTTTCTGCTCACAGTGTAGGATTTAGCACTCTGTAGTGCGGGTAACATAGTCTTTAACTTGTAAACCAGACCGGTGTGCCAAACCCTGTGGAAGCCTTGCTTAATTTACTTCCAGCAACTCGGCTGTCTCCTTAGCCTCCTGTTGTTCTGCTGGTCTGCTACCCTTTCGCTCACAGAAAGGAACGTTACCAGGATCCTTTGGTCGTCTTTAGAGGGTTCTTCCTTTTGACAGGCTTTTTGATTCCTTTGGCTAGCCGTCACGTGTTGTGTTGCGACGGTGCACAGTGGATTGGTATGTTAAAATGCTAAACAACGTCATCCACTTCATAACCATTTGCAATCTTAACCATCGGGCTCAAATTGTTCTGCCGTCAAATCTGGTACCGCTCGATGTTGGTGTTGCGTCTCAACAATCTCCTTTTTGCCGAGTTGGTGCTGGCTAGCATATTTACCAGGAGCTTAACAGCACAGTGGTCGGAACACAACTCGAGCACGTTGCTGGTGACGATCTTGTGCCTATCTATCCACTTAGAGACAGCACTATTCAGTATATGAGGAATTTTAGGGCAGCAAGTGGGTCAGTAAGTAGGCTCGAGTCCTCTACCGGTAAGTCATTTTCCTTTGAAGTTGATATTCCGAGAACCCTTTATGTTTGTTTAGCTTTGAGATCGTCTGCAGCAATAAACCGTGGGTCAAAGTTGTTCAGGAAGTCATGAAAAAGATGCCATGCCCTACTTGGTGTCGTGGTGGACTGTAGATGGCATACCGATTTTCATCACTAAGAACGCACTTTGGTCAATTTTTTGTGTCATACAGTGAGCAATGCTAGGGCGATGCAAGCCACCCAGCTCCACCGGCAAAGGATTAAAGCAACAAACATGCGAGGAGGCGATCGAATCCACTTCACTTCTTCGTCTCGCATTCGTGCACGCTCCAGATATAAAATAATCCGCTCATCCGCAAGTGCTGATTGGTGCTATAGATAAAGAATGTTCACATTTTCATGCATTCAAATTCAAACATCAATCAAATGGTATGTGTTGCGCATCAAGAAAATTGAAGTGATCCTGAAATCCATTCTCACATTCAAAATTTAAAGTCCAGGAATAAGTGTAGCAAAAACATAACAGCTGGCGTTAGCAGTGGGATTTAAGAATGGTTCAATTCGGAGATTTAAACGTTGAGCAGTTAACAAAAGATTTGGCTGAGAGGGCCAACAAGCGGTTTGAAAGGTGAATTTCAGCTATGGTTTAAAGCTATAATATAGATAGCAGGTTTAAAATTGGAGGATTACGAGTTGTTAGAAGAGTTTCCACGTGGCGAATCCATATAGCTTTTTTATATTATTGGCTAAAGTCGAATTGCTTTTCGAAATGCTAGCTAATTAAATAAAAATTAACTCAAAATAAAAATAACTAGTAGCGGGCCCTTCCACGCTTCGGTGTTGCAAATTGTAGTTGCACGTCTATTTTGCAATACTTGTGGTTTTCAATATTTTCTGTTTTTCCGGCATGTAATTACTAATTACTAAATAGTTCCCGTCATTTTGCTTAGTATGTGCCTCTCATATACGGATTCCCGCTCCATCTCAGTCAAGCCGTTTTGCAAAGCATTAGTTTAACTGTTGAGATCTCCGCATACTCTGCCAATTCGTTACACTGCCCTTACTTTTATTTTTCTTGGACGCAGTATGTTCACATGCCATAACCATCCAGATCGGATCACTATAGCCTGTAGGTGCCTATTCAACGATCTTTCGAAAAACATTTCACAAGCAAGTACATTTAGGCCTAAAGATTTAAAATCTGTTCAGCATATTACATATATAGCTTATTTTACCCAACATCAAAATTTTCTCTGAAATAATTGGTCAGGCAACAACACTTTACGTTTTCGTGTTGCTGTCGCACACCGATTTGGTTATAGATACATAACAAGAAAATATCTGTGAAATAATAGAGGTTTTTGTGCGAGTAAAACATGAGCTCTTAACAGGCCCACGAGAAAAACAAAACATAGATGAACAAAATTTGCGACAATCGGACCGTTATGGTTTATAAAGCAAAAGTAAGTAAAAACCGGAGTAGAGCGGCTGAGAACCAGAAGAACTATACTTTGAAAGTACAATTCGGCTGGACTTGGTGTTTGTGACACTCATTGCCTAGTCTCTTAAGCTGATGGCACTGTCGAATTAACATTTGAACTAAACTATGGTCAATTTTCCCAATTTTTCTCTCTATGTTTTTTCCATCTCTCATTACAAGTGCAAGAAAAATTGAAAGAGATCGCGGTCTGCGTTGGCTGTCCTTTCGAAATCCTCCCTCACCGCATTAGCCCACAAATAAATTTGTCTTTTTTGGAAAAAGCTGAAATTTCGTCGCTAACGTGTAATTACATTTAAAATATTGTTGTTAAATCGTTCGATTTTATATATACTGCCTTGTTGTCGTGTATTGTGTTAGAGACAGAGAGATAGAGCGAAAAGAAAGATCCTATCTATCTCCTTTCAAAGCCTATATATATCGAGCACACGCACTCCCACATACGCAAAACACTGTTTGCCAACCGCTGGTCCAGCAAACGGTCAGCCATAAACAGATTAAAAAAAACAGATGGAAATAGGATAATTGCGTGAGCGTAGAATTATTTGGTGAAAGGTTTCACAACCAAGTTCGAATTATTCAACAAGAAGTATTTCCATAGACACGCATTATTCTACTTTTTAGATTTTCGTACTGGTAAAACCGATTGGGGAAAATATTTAAAAGAGCATTTTGCTGTTTTAGGTCACATTAAACATTTTCTTATAATTTACATTTTATATCCAAAACAGCAGGTCCGTTGTATACTGTGCTGTAGTAAATTGATTTTTGACCGACACAGTTGGAATATTTTGACATTTTTTTTAAAAAAATTGCTTTCAGCTCGATTGAGATGTATTTTACTTTAGCGTTTATTGGGGTTTTTTTTTGTTGCGGTTGAAACTAAACAGAAAACTTGTCTGCTGGTTAATATGCAACTGAGAGGAGCACAAAATGTTTTCTTTGCATGCGAATTGGTCGAAGCTAGAGCTTGAACAAGCGTATGTGTATATATCCACCCCCAAAATCAACCAATGGCAGGCGCTGTTATACTCTATTATCCCATAAGACCAATCGCAAGTTCTACAAGTGAAGTATGTAAATTTAAATATACACAAAACATACATAATTTTCACGCATGTATGTGTATCTATTTGTATGTATCTGTTCATAAGCAAGAACGCGATAAACTCTACCGACGATAAGATACCCGATAGTAGGGATTTTAGTTTTTGCACTAATAAAAAATGAAAATACCTAAAAAATTCCTCGATGTCTCAAATAACAACTTAGACTGAAAGAAGAAAAAATGAAACTACTTTAAAAACAAATATTAAATATAATTTATACTTTTCAAAAACAAAATATTATATAAAAAGTTTTCGCTTTATTCATAGGTATGTATAAGCCAAAAAGCTTCATGAATGTCTCGATAAATTAAAAAGATTATAATAGAAACACAATAATTTGGAATGAAGAAGTCGCAAATGCTTTTATCGTACATAGCCTCCATAAAATCAAACAATAAGTATATAAATAAAAAAAAGGAAATGTTATTGTATAACATATGTATATTGTATATTGTATATTTCACATTTTTAAATATTAATTTTAGTTAATAAGTTTACTTTAATATTGTCGAAAATAACGTAGTCGAAAGGAAATCAACTTGATCTGGCTAATATTGTAAAAAGTCTTTACACAAAATTAGGTTTCTATTCTATTTAAAAAGTATTCACACAAAAATAGGTTTCTCTACCAGATGCAGGTATTCATACAGATAGCTATGGATTTATTCACTCTGCTATTGATGGTTCCTTCTGACTGTTGCATACATCTTCAAGCATACAACATACCCTTTTACTCTAGGAGTACTGTGTATGACATTCTCGCTCTCGTTTTGAGTGGTCTTGCATGAATACTTGTGCAGTCTGACTGGAATAAAGTGGTTTTTGATTTATATTCAAGTATTCTGTGCACCCTCAGTTTGGATAAAATAAAGTGGCCGCTTGGGCTGCAGCTGATTTCGAAGTAAAGTAACAGTTGATGTTTCAGAGTTTCAGAGAGAAGGGGTGCGTTTGTGGAGCTCAGGCAGCTGGCGATGCTGTTTGCTCGAATCAAGTGTTTGGGTGCTGCAGAGTTTTGAGGGTGGTATCGGCACGTGCTTAGAGCAAGCGCAACAGCGAACTTTTAGCATTAAGTGCAGTTATTTCCTAAATAAAAAGATAACCCCGATTATAAAAGGCCCTTTATGGCCCATTATTGATGTATCTAAATTAGAGTTTCCCTTATTTTTCGAGACTAAAATTACTCTCGCTTACTCTCTATTTTTCCCTAATGTATATCCTAATAATTGGAAAAATTTTGTTTTTAATTACGATTCGTGTTAAAACTTTTGAATTTACATACATTTTACTTTTAGGTTTCTGGAACTCTTTATTATACTCTCGTCAAATCTAATTTGTAATCCTTATTTGACTTAATTTTTCAATTTCAATAATAATATGCCAGAAATTATCAGTCTTCGTTGGAATAGAAAACTTTTATCAGCTCTAATAGTCCATGCTGTAAGGAGGAACATCTTCCAATTGTAATCGCTTTTAAAAACACTGAACAACTCATTGCTGTGCCGCAACAGCCAAATTCGACAGGTAAAGAGCAAGCACAAGCTGTTTGTAATGCAGCTCTCAGATGGAATCTTGAAGATTGTGTACATATTCATTGTTTTTATACAACAGCATCAAACACAGGTTTATTTTTAGAGCAGCAATTTGATGGGGATTTGCTTTGTTTTTCCTGCCGCCATCACATCTAAGAGCTTGTACTGAAAAGTGTGTATAAAGTAAAGTTACGCAAATAAAATCATTAAAACATATCAAACATATTAAAACATCATTAATTATTCAATATTATGAAGGAAAATTAAAGATTTTTTGTCTCTTTTAAGCATCGGACAGTATTAGCTTCTGCCATGACTCCGAAGATAAAAGTTCATATGCATGGTTCGCGGTCAATCTAAATAAATGATTTAAACTAAACAACGGGAACGTTGTTCGAAGAGTTTTCAAAGAGCATATTAGCTAGATCAATCACTGTTACAAGTGTAATTCCAAATTTCAAATTTGTGTATAGAATTTTTTTAAATTCAAAAATGGGTTATTATTATTTGTCTTGGCTTACTGACGACGACTATATGGCGTTTTGACTCTTATTCTCTGACTCATATTGACTCTCCCTCCAAAATAAAGATCATTGGTTGAGTTGTAAAGTATAATTCAAAATTAATCAGTTTATGAGTAAATTATTACAATTTAAAATTAATCATTATAATATATGTATTTTTTTAATAAAACCTTTAATGATTATGGTCCCTGTTTGAAACTCAGTGACCGATAAGAGCATTCAAACGGAATCAAACTGTAGGCCATTCTTCTTCTTATACGTGTGGCAGCGGTGGTGTTTTTTGTAAGTCAAGTCAAATGATCGAGCGGGACGTTGTGAACCGCGGCAATGGTCACGGCTCTATACCCCGGCAGAACACATATATGTAATATTTTGATGTATATAATCTATACAACGTAGTTTATTCGTAAACGCCGAAACTGGTATCAGAACCCAAGAATCCCGCATGCTCTCTTTCTCTCTCAATATTTTGGTAGAGAACTAGGGGTCAAACAAAACGAACGGACAGAAAACAGACAAACAGATATACATATTTCTTTGTAAATCTGTTTATATTTCGCAGAGTGTGTGTCAGAGGGAGAATGAGTAAGCAAGTGGCTATGCTATCGTAGCATATTCTTCCTTCTGAATATAATAGATATGGTCATTCTCTACGATTCTGTGTTCTTATTTTTTCTCATATCTTCAAAATTGTGGATGCCAACGTCCTCTGTATTGTGAAAAAGAGGCGTGTTCACATTTTTAATTACCCTCGTAACAGTCTGATACTAAAACAGGAGTCTGGATACTAAACAGACAGACAAAGACATGCTATTCACTTTTTTTTTAAATTTATTATTATACTTTGTATTTGATTATAAAATATTATCTCAGATACAAGTGTGTTGTTTGCTGTTACTGTTAGAGCTTTCAGGGTTTCTAGGGTAGAGGTCCTCTTAGATCATCCTTTTGGGCAGTCGACTGCGTTTAATCTGGCCAGCCTATGCCGGTATCTGGTTCTCGCAAGACACCTCGCCAGTACATTAGGACTTCTGAGCTGACAAATATAGCTCTTCGCTTGATTGTTGATAGCATCACCAACAAGTACGTTAAGGTCCTTGGCGATGTCCCGGTTACGGATATGCCCCTCAGCTCCGGATGATCAAGAATTTATATTCTTTCCCTTACCATAACTATAGGTGTGTGAAAAATGTTGGTGAATGATAATTTTCGTATAGCATTATTAACCACCCTCATTTAAAATCGTCAACAAATTATTATATTTGTATGTATGTTGTATTCATTGAGCATTATTTCATATAGTACAATTATTTTTTCCATTGTAAGAATATTGAGCAAAGAGCAGATTGTATGAAGGAAAATTGCAGCATTGCATGTCCGTTCGTTTCCAATGCGACTCTTTAGAATATTCAACTTCCAACTCCTTCATTGTCTCATAAGCCAAAGAACACTGTAATTGAAGAAAAAACTATTTAATTTTTGTTTGTTTATAAATAAAAAAGGCTTCCTGGCCCGAGAATTAATTTCCCCTGAAATTGATAGTTCCATTGATGGGTCATACAATTTCACGCAAAGACCAATCGAGCTTCCTTGCAAGGAGGATGAAATGAAAAGCTAATGATTCTGAAGCGCACACCAGTTATGTGAAAAAAAAAATAGATATATATTTTTTTTATTCATTAAAAAAATATCTAAAAACAGACGAACATTGTTAGATCGCCTCGCCTTGTCGTAGATATTTACTGTGTTTACCAAATATACATACCTTGTTCGCAAAAATTGTAACGATAAATTTTCCCGGTTTAAATGTATTGATAACTTGATTTATAAGGTTCCTGTAGTTAGTCATTGCCACGTTAGTTTCAAAACTAACATAAGAAAATAAATTTTCTGGTGTAATGTGAATCGTCATATATTCTCCCTGTTGGAAAACAATAATTAATATAAATCGTCATGTTATCGTTAAAGGAAATTAATACTTTAAAATGCAAAAATAACAAAGAAACATACTTTTTCGAATTGCTTTGGTCACGCGCAACAATGAGAATAGTGTTACAGAATTACAGTTTTCAAAAATATGTTTGTTTAATCTTTGTCTCTGTTAAGCCAACTTATAGTAACGGTTACAGCTTTCGCTCAAAGTTTCGCTAATTATACCCGGTACTTGACGAGTAAAGGGCTATATTCGATTTTTGGTAAAAGTGGATATATGTAAAAAGGGAAGAAAGCGTTTCCGACCCCATCGCTTAATAGTTATTTATTATTTCAATATTGTTTTACCTTTTCATTTATTCCATTCATAGAATAACCGCACGGATCAAACAGAAAATCATCAATATGCATATTTGGCAAAATTTTATCAATTCCAGACATCTAAAATAAAAAACTGAAAAATTAAATTGTTTATGAAAAATGGTTCAAAGCCTTTATACCGAGGTAGCATCAGCTGCGCTTAGAATATTTTTTTTATTAAAGACCGACATAGCGTTTTGATCAAGATTCTGCATAAGAATTTCAATCGTTTGATCTGGATCAGACTCGACGCCTTCATTTATCATGTGTCCTGGTGATAATTTCATGTCAGAACGACTAAAGGTATAAAGATACCAACATTCCAAGTTCATAGAACCCAAACAATATGATCTTCCGTTTGGAAAAAGTGTGTCAAGGTAAGAAACTTCCTCCGTAAATCCTTTATGTGGAGTCACCTGAAGGATAAATATTTCAAAATTTAAATACTATCACATAATAAAAGAGTTTCTAACCTGAGCCTCTGGTCGAATAAAGTTTTTTCTTGAATAGAAAAGGTCCGTAATTATTTTGTACCCGTTTAAACTGGCAAGCTTTATCAATTGACTTAAGCATTTAAGTGGAGTTGTTGTTCCACAAGTTTTCAGTATCCATCTTCGTTTTGATACAAACATACTGCTTTCGCTGAAATTAATTAAATACGCAAAAATTTATTTTGAAATTCAGTAGAGAACCTATCCTCGGCGTGCCGAAGTCGGACAGCAAAAGCAGGCTGGGCTGTTAGGCCGGTAGCATGATCCTGCCCACGCAACATACCAACAACCATTTATCTCTCGTTGCTATGTCAGCTTATATACCACGATGGTAGTCTTAGAAATGAGCGACATCAAAAAGGAAAGGAGAAAAATGGAAGGAAATTATGGAAGATATCAGCCGTGCTCTGGTTATCGCAAATCGCAAAAATGGCAGATTGACTGAAAAATGTCAAAAGTGCGTGCTGTAGTTTTCTCAAATGAAAATAAAATTTGTATGAGAGGTTAAAAAAAAGCATATTTGCTGATGTTTTAAGTTTATATTTATATAACTCGCAATTTATTTTCTTATATGTTAATATATTTAAAAAAATCATTCTAATGAAACCCCAATTTATTTGCAGCACTGCCACTGGTCCACGGAAAAACAGAAGCAATGGTTAAAAAATCAGCTGCTGGTTCAAAAAGTCGCCAAATTGTGTGGAAAGTGCTACAAATTTTTGTTTTTTTTGAAATTGTTATGTGTGAGTATTAATTACCTTATTATTTACCTCGTTCGCTTAAACATTTGTTGTTTCCAATTTTCCATTAAATGCGTCATTCACTCATTTGGATTTTTCTAATTGTCCGGATTGGTCTGCTTTCTAAGTAACACTTTCCACAGAAAAAATCATTTTTGGATTTCCAACTTTTTTCATGAATTTTCCAATGTTTTTAATATTTATTCTGCTATTTGTGACGGAGTCTTATAGAAAAAATCAAAAACTTTAAAAATAGCTCTATCAGTTCTAGAGTTAGGTTCAAACACACACATCCTTGTTTTACATATATATAGAATAAATATATTATAGACGATAGATCGTAATATCAAAAAATGTAGAAAACCATAGCATAGCTGTACCTCTCAAAACAGTCTCTTTTTAGATCCATAGATTTATTCCACTGTTTCTGGCTTTTTTTCTAATTAGGATTGTATTTTTTATTTTTGATTGTAAAATAATATCACTGTTAGAGCAACTTATACAACATTTTCTACATTTTTAAATAAAAAATAAAAAAATAGTAACGTTAATTTTTATAATAATTTTTTTTTTTTTAAAGTAACGTCTGTATATGCTATATGTGGTTAAAATCACTTATTTCCTAAATATGAATGCTTACACAAATAAAATTTTATATTCCATGAGTAACATGTAAAAAAATTACCTTAACACGAAAGCGTCAATCAAATCGTTTTTTGAAAAACTTATTATTTCACAATTGACTTGGCTCAGGACATTTTCCCAATCAGATCTGAAATTAAAGGCGTACATATAATTAGATTTTATATTCTTTATTAGAAAATAAAGGCGAGTGGTACACTAGATATAAAAATACGGTGTTTCTATTTCAGGTCCAAACTTACTTTTTTAGCTAATTTTGGAGTCCAAATAACTAAAATATGTATACCCATTTTTTATTAATGACAGTGTCCCACCAGCCCCCAAACTTATTTCACACCGGGCGGGACTAAAGTGTTACCCAACGCGTGCCAGGAGTCACCCAGCTCCGTTCTCTGAACATTTCGTTTTTAGGTGCTACCATTTTCAAACATTTTTGTCATCGATTTTTTTATTTTCTCATCGTTTCTGGCAAAAAAAAACCTGATTGACTGCCTGGTTGCTTCTCTAATATACAGAGTGATTTGCTTGTTTAAGAAAAAAAAACGTCGGCAGAAAGTGCGAAATTTAAGAAGATCAAACCTTTTAAGATGCAACATCTGTGAACTTAATATGACGGACTGCGAGTAACAGCATGCATATTGAAAAATACCCAGCTGCTCTGTTACGAGCATAATTTAGCAAATACATATATTTCGACCGCAATCTGAGTTGTTATGCGCACATTTGTGCTGTTATGCGCAAAAATGCGGACTTTTCAAAAACGAAAAGTATTGTTGCGTGACCAAAGAACCTTTTGAATGAAGGCACAAGCTCAATTTTCCTGCCGTTTACTTTAGAAATCTTGCATTTTGTGAAAAAGGGAGCTATTAATGTATTTTCAAAAGTAATTTAAAATTTTTTATATATTTTTATTTATATAATATATAGTCGCATAAACATAAATATTTACTTTCTCTAGGTACACACATCATATGTATATTGTACATATTGTAAATTATTATTGTAGAAAATTATATATACCAAAATATATATTATAGACATTAATGACATATACATATGTAAATAGGTATAAAATGTGTCTATACAGATTGTAGGCTCATACGAGCAAATCAAATTTTAAATCATTTGTCGTTTGTCTTCTCTGCACCATAAGATCCTCATACGTAATTGCAGGTTCTATCTTTGAAAGTCTGACAATACCCTAAAGGACAATTATCTAGTCATGCGTTACATATATCATGTATAATTACATACGTATACCAGCCCATTATATTTTTGTATTCTATATTAAAAGTATATTAACAAATAAAGCATATATAAAATATAATGATATCGTGGGACAAGCTTCTTCAGAAAGTCATAATACTCTGAAAATGCTAAAATAACAGGCACATGTGAGCCGAGAAAACGAAAATGACCTTTACACGCAGATTGGAACAATGCGTGTGCACCCATACATGAACATACGATGAAACCAAAAGATAACGCAAAGACCAAACAAAACATTAGCGCTGAAAATGAAAAAAAGCATGCAATCACATGTTTTTGTGAAAACACTGTGTTACACTAGCACATGCAAAGACGTTGCTGGGCTGGACGCCTGGCTCATGGTGACGCGGCGCGAGCCGTACGCCAGAGCCGAAGACCCTGGGAGCGTACACAGAGCGTTTATTTGCGACATGTTCGGCTTGTGAACTTTATACTGCATATGTCAACTTATATACATATATAGAAATAAATGCATTTAATGACATAAGTAAGAATAACTACATCACCACATACCGAGAAATGTTTCGCAAATCATCGTTATTACTGGAGGTTTCTTCAAACCAAATTTCAAGGAGTTTTTCGGCTCCTTCAAAAAAGTGTTCTTCATTCCCCGACATAATCAACAGATGTACATAAACTAATGTGTTTCAGTAGGCATGGACTCAGAGAAAATACAGGTAGAGGGACCTAATTTTGTCATATACATAGAAATAAAAAATATGGTACTCCTGTGATTGATTTTGACTTGTCTTAGACTATACAGTTTGCTGTCAAAAGAATAATTCCACACCGAGCTCAGAGATTATACAAAAAATGAATAATATCTTCTGAAATGCTTAAACTTAAACATTAAAAAATGATTTTGTATAAGTACAATCTTAAGTACATCTTGTTGCAATGAGCTATTCAATTCTGAAAACCTGATAAGTGCATCTATAAACCAGCTTAGCTTACCGACTGGCAAATATTTCTTTAGTTAACTAAGCATGTGAGACTAGGATTGGTGCACAAGCGAAGTGAACGCATATATCTTTCTAGCTCTCTCTCAAAATGCTTTCTCTGTTCTTAAGGCTATAGGTTTTTATTTCCCTGCATTTCCTTACTCTAATGGATAATCATATGGTTATCACTAACCAAATTTTTGAAATTTTATTTATTTTGAATCATCCATTCTCTATTTATTATACCCGGTACCCAAAGAGTCTAGTAATATATTAGTTACATATGTGGTAATTTTGGATGTATTTAACAGCTAGAAGAAAGCGTTTCCAACCCAATAAAGTTCTGTTTATTGGTCATGATATCACACTGAATCTGGTTTTTTTTTCAAAATTTTTGCCACAAAGAATGAAAATCTATAGCATCCACAATTGTAAAGCTGAGTGTATGCAGAAAACAAATAATTTGCTCATTGTTATAGCCAGAAGGAACAATGAAAAAAAAGAAGAAACAATCAACGCGCTTACTCATTTTCCTTCTCTCCCATTCATTCTCGAGTAGAGGGGATGGAGCGAGATAACAACACACATTTTGACTGAGTATCGGGTTCAAATTTAGATTTTCTAAACCAAGACAGCTGTTTTTGTTCAGTAAAGATGAGACAGTGGAATCAAATCGATGAACAAAAGTTGCAGTTACGTGAGAACATAATAATAAGCAAATAACACTATAAAATATCAAAGAGAATTTTATAGAGAATAAATTTATATAATCTTGTTGAATATTTTGAACGTGAATAATCTGAAATTTTTTTCCAATGTTATGCTGGTATATGTCGAAATTCCGATCAGTTTTTATCGAGGAAAGCAACCCTACATATGACGCACGAAGAGAATAAAGATGGCGTTCCCGAGCACACGAAAACTAAAGCAAGGTGAATGCTAGGTAAAGAATCTTTTAAAGTATATTGAAAATGTTCATAACGTTTTAAAATTAGTAAATAAAAAGTATATTTACAATGTGTAAATTAAAAGAAACGATTCTTATGTAATTCGTCAATGTTAATTACAAGTTTAATGTAATAATGAACATACATATATTGCCTGTAGTTGTCCTGGACTGAAATTGAAAAATAATTGTTTTACACAAGGTAATTTAGTTATTAAATCTAAACTTAAAGTTTTCTGATATTTAACGAAGTTTAATATATATTATATGTACATATATATATGTATATACGCGTATTTATATATGCAGATATATATATGTACGTATACATAGGCTGTGGCTCTACATCGGTACTCTCGCTGCAACAAAAGGGATTCCCAACATACGTATAAAAATTCAATTAACTGGATATTAGCGTGAGTAAATTTTATGAACGTTATTATGTTAGCGTAGTAGTATTTTGGTTGTGTTTTTTTTTTCAAAAGTTAAATATTTTTGTGTATACATATGTATGTAAACATTCCACCATTTTCGTGTTTTCATATACATATCAAATATACATTTGTAAATAAATACGTATGTATGTGCACATGTATATTCGTAAACAATAATGCTACCTGGTGGAGCCTTTGGAAATATCACTGTATGTTAGCACATAGAATGTAAATATGTATGTAAATACGAATGTGATGTACATATACATATACTCTGTATGTGCAGGTTGAGGTATAAATGTAAATATAAACAAGAAATTATTTGAATTATTTTTTTAAATTAATTTACCCGTGCAAAGGGTATTGTGATTTAAACTAGAGGTTTCCAACAGAGAAAAAGCATTGCATTATTAATATCAACAATCCAGTTGCTATAAAGAAGTGGAACTCGTGAATTTACATTATTTATTAATTCGTTATTACTTAGAAAAAACTGTTCAAACCCGATACTTTTAGATACTTTCTACAATAAAGAGTATCAAAAGCTTGTCCCGTGTGACGTACAGCGTGCTTCGGATTAGCTTAGTACGATATCCTGGGGAAATCCTGTTCTATAATTAGGCGGTTCTAAAGTATATGTACCTATATTATTCTTGTTCAAGTTGATAATCCGAGTCGTTCCTGCAATTTTCGACTGTCTGATCCTCTGTTTGTCATGAAAAATTGTATTTTTCATTGTCCTCTTGCTGAATAGATTCAAGATTTTCTGCGAAATAGAACCTGATGATTAGAAACTAATGGAGTGATTCTTATTGATTCACATTGCTCTACTTTTGAATTCATTTTTGATCCCATTTGTAGTACCATTGGTCTTCCTCGGAGTTCAAGACTGACGTTCTCGCTGGTTATAGCTGTACCAAGATAGTTCAGTACAACTTCAACCTATCTGTTTATCGCCACAGATGTATGTATTCCGTCGATTACAGCAATGGCAGTCTGATTTCGCCTCAAGTGATCAAGAGCTATCCATGTCCCCCCAATGCTACTGACAATCATATTCTGCCCCGCAGCTAATTAGCTTTTCCAATCCTTGAGGCTGTAGGCGCAAGCCTAAATCATGGCCTCTGCAAAAAATGAGCGAACTTGAATTTGAAGAGAATTGCTTTTTGGCATTTCTCGTCCAATGTGTTCGGCTCGTTTTAGAAGTATCTGGCGGACTATTTATGCCAGAAAGGAGAATTAGATGTATAGAATAAGTAGATCTGCCAGTGATTCAGTGCTTATATAGATAATAATTCTGCATATTATAATGCATTGAAAAATATTTAGCAATCAGGAAAAAAAAAACTTGTTACTTACCCATATAATTTTGAAAGTAACTGCCACCTCGATATGCCAACTAAAGCCATTCCCTTATATAACGATGGCCCTACCACACTGCTTAAAACAAGAGAAACATCAATGTCTGGTTGCGACTTGGAAGCAACGGTATAACAGGACGAAGTTGACTTTTGTAGGAGTGCTGGAACTTAAAACAACAAGCTATGAGCCAGATTTAACAAAGCTATCAAAGACATGCAAGGCCAAGCCCCATAAATGTACTTGACTTTTGCAGTTAAGTATTTTGCAATAGTTAGAGTTAAATTATTAAATTTGGTAATTATTCCATTAGAGCTAGCTAGAAGGCGGGGTATTCTCTCCGTGCCGAGGTTCCCAAAAATGTATTTTCTGGGTGTGGTAGCTGACATAGGAAAGGTCTCTTTGTTCAACAAAAAGGCTAGGATTAACGGAGAAAAATATGTTTTTTTCTTAATTGGTCTTAAATTCACAGAATCAAGTCCAGATGGGTTGGCTCGATTCATTCTAGCGACGCTGCTTTTATATGCTCTGATCAGCTGATGTGCCTAACGTGTTCTGATGTGCCCGTGATGAACAGACGCGCGTTCGGTCATGGGGCAGTGTGCCCGTGTGTCTTTGTTATACGGTCAAACTGTACAGAGCGGGTGGAGCTGCATAGTGGGTGAAACGGGCAATCTAGCTTTTCGAAATCCGAAAACTCAAAATTGGTGCCTTAATCGGATTGTAGCAAGAAAAAAATAATAAAAACAAAATATAAGTAGTTATGGGTCGTGGAAAGCACCGTAGTGAAGAAAAAAGCTAAAGAAGACGTATGCTAAGGTGGGACAAATTGTCGGCTGTTCAAATAAAATGATTCGCAATGCTTTAAAATATATTGCCAACAAGAATCGCGTGGAAGGAAGACCGCGATATATCCCCATTTCTAGTAAAACTACTAGTTTATGAGAGCAAGAAACACCCATCAAAGCCGGCTACAGAGCTAAAAAACGGATCTTAAAATATCGGCAAGTAGTAGCAAATTAATATATTGCTTACAAATTGAATGCCCGTGGTCCGAGGAAAATTCCACTTGTGACTACAAGTCATAGGTCAAAGAGATGGTTCGTGGATCACTATATTCCATTGGGATGCGAAAATTAGGTGAACCTTAATGCCGAGCTGCTGTTGTTGCTGCCAAAGACTATGAAAATAATATTCAACTTTAAATACAACTGAAGTAACATATTTCAATGAAATGTTTAATGTTTAAACTTTTTGAAATCAGTGTGGACTTCATGCCGACGTAATTTCTAGATAAATCCTTTTCTTTTCAAATATTTTAATTTGAAGTCTGCAATACAACCATTGAGTTCGGATACGTTTACAACCAGCGTAATATTTTACGTTGCTCAAACGACCGTCGCTCTGCGCGTGGCATTGGATTGCAAGTTGGCCGTGGATTTCAGCTTACAACTGCTGACAAATTTATACCCAAAACTTTTTGTGTTTTAATTTTCAATGAATGGTTACGTTAAGCTAACATATGAACGATTGATCTGCAAGTGATATGTGTACATAAACAAATAAATGTAAAATTAAATACACATATGTATTTATGTATAAGCTGTACAAGATAATATTTGTATTAATAACTTGAAAACTGTCCTATTCCAGATCCATTGCCAAACCTCCGTCTTTAATTGTGGTGCAGATATGGCTACCAGTGATGACGAGCCAATGCACTTGTATGAAGTGTTTCAAAACTGTTTCAATAAAATAGCAAACAAACAACCAACGGGCACAGCCGGAACTGACCGTGGAGGTGGAGGGGGGTATCACTCACCTTACGGAAACCTTGGAGTGGAAAATGGCATGTATCCGAGTGACTTTAACTCTATCCATGACGCCAATGGAGGCAACAATCGATTTCCTAATACGACAACGGTTGACCAGTATTTTGATTCAGCTGTTACGAGTAGCGGTGCATGGTGTCCATCCCAAATGAACAGTGGTAATAATTATATGGGACAAGCCTCTTATCAAAATACTGTCCCATTGACTTGTCATACTTTGGACCAACAAGTGCATAATGCGGACGGGCTGTCGAGTGGAACAAGTATTGGAATCAACATGGGTAGCGAAAGTGGTCATGCTATGCATTGTCCAGTGTCAACTTCTCTTCCGCCGATGAGTTCTTTTAGAGCTAGTGCCGGTAGTTTGCCTAGCATCAGCGGACAACCTCCTGTCCATCCACCAGCCATATTCAACTCACCACAGGCACACAATCAAAGCCAAGTAGTACAAGCACAGCATAGTTCGTTATCCACGGCTGGGCCGCATGGTCATCATTCGCTCAATCACACTTCACATTCTCATGCCCATTCCCATCACAGTCAGCAAAACAGTCCTGCGGTGCAGAGTGCAGATACATTCACTGGAGTTAGTTCTGGAGTTAATGTGAAAGTGGCTGGAGCTGGTAATTCTTCGGCAACATCATTGAGGCAACAAATGTATTTACCAGCTAATGTAGCTGATCAAAGTATTAGTAGTTTCGGTTCAAATCCTTCTACGCCCGTTAATTCACCACCCCCTTTGACCCAATCCGTTGGGGAACCGTCTGTTACTGCTTCAGGAGGGTGGGGCCATTCTGTGTTAAATGGTGGCACAAATTCGAGCTACGCGAACGACATGGTTCCTGTAACTAGTTTACATACAATGGCTTCTGTATTTCAAGGAGTACGCATGGAAGAAAGATTAGATGATGCACTCAACGTACTGCGCAATCATTGTGAGCCCGAAATTATACCAAACGTGGCATCAATTGACAATATAGATGCAATGTCTTCATTTGTTCCCAATTCACCTTCGCATCTTTTAAACGTCACCACCGCAGGAAGTGGAAGCTCCTCTGTTACCAACACGTCCAATACACTTGTTCATGAAGTTCTGTCTATGGGAGCTGCTGGAACATCAGTTCAAACAGTTGGTGAAGATGGATTGGCGCATTTAAAAACAGATCGAAATTCATTAACATCAACAACTAAACAAACAAAAAAACGGAAGGAACATACAGTAACCAACACTATAGCAGCAGTCTGCACCACCTCGAACCTGACTAGCTTAGATGTTTCCGATACAAAACCAACAAGCTCTATAGAATCATTAAATGCAACCCAATTGCAACAACTTTCGCAGGGTTCAAAATCATCAAAAAGACCACGGCGATACTGCTCCTCGGCGGATGATGATGATGACGCAGAACCAGCTGTTAAGGCGATTCGAGAAAAAGAACGTCGTCAGGCCAACAACGCTCGCGAAAGAATTCGCATTCGAGATATCAATGAGGCATTGAAAGAATTGGGTCGAATGTGTATGACACACCTAAAATCAGATAAACCACAAACTAAGTTGGGAATTCTTAATATGGCTGTTGAAGTTATTATGACCCTGGAGCAACAGGTTCGCGAACGCAATCTGAATCCCAAGGCAGCATGCCTTAAACGACGTGAGGAAGAAAAAGCCGAAGACGGCCCTAAGCTGAGTGGCCAGCATCACATGATACCGCAGCCACCGATTGGAGCGTCCGGCAGCAGCTATCACAGCCAACCTACGCAGCTTGTGCCACCGTCATCACAGACTATAAGTACCATGACCATATCCTTACCTGTTAACAATGCTACCAGCGTCCTACCACCACATTTACAGCAGCAACAACAAACACAACTCGGACACGGTCAGCTTCCGCAATAGCATGCACTTAGAAACTCCTCTGAAATCGCCCCTATCTTCCATAAAAACCCAATGTATTCAAGACTCTACCAAGTACTCATTAACCTCGGAATTCGAGCATCAGATTTAAAAAAATATATTTTGGCGTTGTCCTCAAAAAAGGCAGTCTCATGCAACATAACTCTTTTAAAATGTACAACACTTTTAACAAACATCGCCTAAACGATTATCAATATGACCAGGTTTACTTATTAATATGATTGTATATAGCTATTCCATTATTTTTTACCTGGGAAGATAATTTATGTTTCTTAGATAATTTGATTAAATAATTTGTTTTAATTTTATATCTGTACGATATTACCGTAGCCATATTTTTTATATACAAAAACAGCATACATAACGACATAATTAACTGTAAGTAGTTAAAGAAAACTACAATGTAAACACATAGGCGTATTTCTTTTTATTTCCCAGAGCTACAGGAATAAATATGTCAATATTAATTTTTTACTGTGTTTGTGATTAAAGAAAAAGTTTGAACGTAAGGGTAATAAAATATGGAAGTAATCGTTAGTTAAGATTAGCTCATAATTGTTGTATTGTAACTTAAGGCTTCAAAGAAAATTTGTAATATGGTTATCAATTATATAGTTTTCTACTATAGGGAACTGGAATTTGCAAATTATGACGATGTAATATTATCTGGAATGAAGTCGAGACATAGTAACAGCGAGAGTGCTTCAACTTCAGAAGACGCTCTACGATTCTGAATTCATATATGTATAGTCAAATCCGAAGCTCATCGTCGGTATTTTATGGCTTAATTACAAAATTATTTTTGCGTAGGTGTGTTCGACAGCCTATTTCAGGATTTACATAATTTTGCAATGAATAAAAGGTTTAGAGAACATTTTCTCCCTATTATTTTCCTTGTAATGCATACAAAATGTTTTTTAAATATAGGAAAATTCCAAATATATCATTAGGAAAGGTTTTTGAATTTCTGAATTATCTGTATCAGCATAGAATAGAACATCTGAAGATAAATGACTGCTAGGTTTCAGGGTATGTCAGAACAGTTTTTAATTAAAAATATAATTGTCGCTTCGGCTAAAACTTGAGCGAGTAGCAGAGTATTGTAGATATAAATGAACTGTGTATGCATGCGAACGACGATCATGGGTAGTCGAGTGTGGGGTGCTTGGGTTTTGGTTAATAGTGTCATACGAGTGCAGACATACTGCAAAGTGTGCGGCATATGGGACTCGATCTTGGTTTGTTGCTGTATACAATACCTTTCATACTATAAATTTACATATATCTTATTTAGTATATTATTGTTTTATGTTTGTGTTTGAACACGCCTGAATCGGCTCGGCCGATTTGTAACACATTTTTGTTTGTTTGTTTTGTATTACCACCACCCATTATTTAATCGGAACAATATAAACAATATCGAAATATCCCGATTTTCACCAACAAATACAGTCTTAAGCGATGCCCAAAAGTCTGTCCCATCGCACAAGCGAATTGTTTAACAGAGAATGCATAATAAAAAAAATATAAAAAATTGTAATTTGAGCAGGCCGAGGTATATTTTCTCCGAGACTGAGATTAAATTCGTTGAAATCCGCAATCTGTAAAACTTAGAATATGGCGAATATGGTCGACTTTTCATTAATTGCGTGACCAGGAGAGCCCGGATCGGATGAGGAACAGATGCCATCAGGATGCAGATCATGGCGGCACGTCTCTGGAACTCAAGGATCTGGACAAGATCAGTTCTGGTGGTGATGGGAATGTCACAAATGACAGATTAAAAATTAGTATGAAGCTATAAGAGGTGGAGCCAATGCAGTTTTCGCAATCCTGAGATAGTTATTGCCAATGGTGGTGAGAAGCTGACTCCTGAGAAGCTTGGATTAGCAGGTCCCGTGCATGAGATGGCTTTCGGCATGACAAAGGACAAAATGCTTGTGATTAATAGTGCTTTCACAGTCTTTCTGTGTGGAGGCAACGCAATAATCATTGCTGGGGCCAAGCGCTCCACCCACTATGCGATCTGTGTGGTGTGCTAATGAGTCAAGGACTCGCGTATTATGAACGGTGGTGGAACCGCAGAGATCAGTTGCTTCCTGTCTTTGAAGAGCTTTGCCATTCCTCCAGTACTGGCCGAGAAATCCAATTGAAACGCTGCTAAACAAGGTGCAAGGGCAGGCGGGCCGAATTTCCCGTGTTCCGATGCGCGCGAGAGCGACAAAAAAAAAAGACGCGAGAGAAAGGCTGAATAGGGGGCTGCCGTAAGGGACCATATGTACATACATAAATGTGTGTATATGGGTTACAGTGTGGTACAGTGCAAGTAACAAACAATAATAGGATTTTACTTTACTGGTGGACCACTGACTATGCTATATAGATGGTGCAGACACCAAATCAGACAACCTTGGTAAGCTATGCCAAAAAGCAATTACCGAAACGAATTTTGAATAATTTGTCGAGGAAATAACTAGCATTTGTGCACCTAACATATCCAATTTGAGGTCTATGACATTGGGAGAAAAATCTAAATTATCTTGCACTCAAAGGTCGCCCAAGCCAAAGGCCATCGTGGCCCCGAGCGCAGCAGCGGGGAGTTCGCGATGTCAGCCGGTCAGGCGCCTGGAGCGGACAGCCGTCGTCGAGCGCTCATTTACTCATATGAACCGGAAGGTCAGAAGGGTGTAGCTCCTGGTGAACGATGGTGGGCATATCGGTGTCCGCGGGCACTCAAGAGGTATTACTGGCCACCGGATTCCTTTCAAGAGGGTTCCCAGGGTCTTCAGCTCTGGTTGATGGACTGATATCGAGCAACCATCCAGCTTATAGCAAAGGGATATCGGTGGAGACGGCACTGCACTCGTTAGTGGGTTACAGAGAGCCATTCACAACAAAAATATGCACCAGAAATATTTGTTGATATATCCGGACCAATTAACAACATGGCTACTAACGCTATAATAGATCGACTAAAGAACCTTCGATTTTGTAGGCGGGTGCAATCAACGTAGGCAACGCTTCCATGGTAAAGGGGGCACACAGAGTTACAGGGCCCAAAAAATAACGGCTTTTGCAGACGACATGAGCATATTTATTACGGGATTTTGTGCATTAACTCTGAGCTCCATAATGAAATGTACACTCAAGAAGATATATGGGAGTGGGCGGATAAAGTAGGGCTCAATCAGCTTTGCAATATATGCATCCAAGAATAGCAGCACATGGGACCTGTCTACTGCTCTAATCTACTGGATCTACATGTCAGTCGTGCGACGAACTCGAAACCATGGAACATCCCATCTTTAACTGCCGGGCCATTTCACGGGCAAGGAAAACATACCTGGGCGACCCGGCGCTGACATTACTGGAAGACGCCTAAATACCTAAATTCTCGAGGACGTTAAAACTTTACACGCATTCCCTCGATGGTTCTTATTTTATTGAAAAAAGATAAGACAATATAAGGGAATTAGAAAATTAAAAAAGGCAAAAGATTCTATTCAACACGGTCCCATTTTGTAAAACAAAATTTTCTGTTCCACTACGACTATATAAACATCATTGCACATAAAATTTCTTTAAAAAATTGTAAGTATTTTCGTTCTTTTAAAACAACTTGATGAACCGCACTAGAGGCCCATAAACTAAGTATGAAACAATTTGAAAATATTTTAATTTAAACACTATCCTTTATTATTTTATTTAAACGATTGTGAAGTGACATAATGAAATTGTCTAATGATTTGTAAAATATTTAGTAGTATTAACGGTATTTTTGCATCATTTCATCCGTAAAGCTCTGCCGATGCGCAGATAATGAGAGGTTAACAATATCCTCTCTGCCATTTATCCGTCAGGCTCCTCCACATGAAGATTTTTTTATAGAGGGATGATATTGACCACAAGACTTCAGTTCAGTGAACACTTCCGTAAAAAACCCAGGCTCTGCATTAATTTTTAGCATTTTATCGCTTAATTTGTTCACAATTACGAGGCACCTGAAATAAAAACGGTTTTTAGTATTTATAAACCTTTACTTTAAAACAAGATTAGGCTAAAATATAGACGTTTCTAGCCGGGGTTGCCAGAAAAATGACTATCTGAGTCGCTGAATGGACAGCTATGTTGTATTGTCATGAATTTGTATATCCTGTACTCAAAGAGTTTAGGGATATATTAGATTTGAGCTGTATGTGGATGTGTAACCCCCCCAATAAAATATATTCCTATTAGAATCAACAGCCTATAGTCGATATAGACGTGTTTGTCTGTGCGTCTATCCGTCCGGCCGTCTGTCCATCTTGTCTGACGCCTATTTCTCAAAGGTTATAAGAGCTGCACCAACCAAATTTTTGTATCTAGACTCCTGTGATGTTTTTTCCAAAACTTTGCCATGCCCTCTACCGCCTTACAAAGGACGAAAATCCACAATTTTGAAGATACGAGGAAACCGATAACGACAATTTTCATTGGGTCATTATTATAGTCATAATGGGCAAATCGCTTTTCCCCTTGTGCGCCCCTAGCGGAGGGGACCGAGATAAAGCGGCTGGTACTGGTGTTAGAATTAAGAGAGAAAGAGACAGATGTAGCTAAATACAAAACAGTATCAGAAAAATGGAAACGATATTATACACTTCTAATAATAAAGGTCAATTAAAATCAACTGAAGAATATAGCTAGAGGTCTTGATTTCTCTCTTTTGCGCCATAACCATGGCGAATCGCAAAATCGCATGATAGGTCCGACGCACTCGACGATTGTCGTTTAATATGGCCGAAGGAAACCGAGTGATTTAGAAGTTTGGGATGTGCGTTTATGAGTTTCCGGACAAACAAAGTTTAATATATATATATAAATAATTTATCCGTTTAGTTTTACCTGTCCCAAAACTTATCCTTTGAGTCTTCAACCAAAAACGGCTTAAGAGGATAACTTATTTCATTTCCCATGTATGAGTATGATAGATACAAGCAGGTAAGCACAGAAGCTTGTAGATCCGATTCTTTAGATTCCTCTCCATCAACCAAATCACGAACTAGCATGTATACAAAAACAACATTTGCCGGGTTAATAAATGCGACATCCTAAAATAAAAATAAAAAAGTATTAGTTATATTGAAATAGCAGGAGTTGCAATGAAATTATATTCAATATCGTGGTTTTAGTGATAGGAAATGTTAAAAAACTTCAAGGTATGCCTGCTCACTGGGAACGTTGTAAGTCGTTTCTACGGCAACACTGAATCCGGG